GTTTCGTCCGTATTTAGGTCACAACACCCACAACCCTGCGCTTTAGAGGAAAGAGTGTGGTGAACCGGGTCACCCGCAAGCGACGGTGGCGGTGGACAATAACATCCGTGATCCAGGTACGGGTACACCTTCGCTGAATTCTGTGTCGAGTACCTATTGTATTTTGTACAGATTGATGAGTATAATGTATGTAGAGTTCGAATATTGTACGAAGGCAACTATAGACTATAGTCCTAATTTTATATATTTTGTAAAAAGGATTCCTTCTTGGAAAATTATGCTTCTCGTGTTGTTCCCATTCCAACACGGATTTAGTTCCATTTTGGTAAGAGTATAGAATAAACATACTACAGTTACAATTGCGCCGTACTCGAGTATTGCAGTTGCAGATATCCTATTTAGGATATTTAGTTAGTTCATAGTTAGTGACTAATAAAATGCAATCTGTAATAATCTATATCCATTTGACATGCAGTATGTATCTATTTGCTGCTATCTCTCTACTCGGATGAATCAAAACAGCTTGAAGTTGAGTATTATTTATGTTGCTGTATAGACCACATTACGAAGAAAATGTTGATTTTCAAACATCGAAATGAAATATTTGACCCACGTGACTGAGGTCCGCGTGGTGGGTTTGAATATTGATTGTAAAATTGTAATAAAAGAACAGGTATCAAAATGAGATTTAATAAATTGAGTCAGTATAGTCATTTTTGAAAGGGTTCTAACTTTAAAACAGCCAGTTTCGATCGAACATAACATTCTTGGAATTGAAAATAAATTTTATATAAATGCGGTCAACATTCCGCAGCGCTGATAGATAACCAGCACGTCACTTCAGAATATTGAAACCGATAAAGCACTCCTCATTGACACAAGTGACACCGATTCAAATAAAATAATAATAATTATGAATATTATAATAACGGACGTGATAATTGAAGAACAAGTGGCTTCTATAAATAACCATTATATGATAAACTGATATCATAAGCACAAAGCCAAAACAAGGTTTATTTTTATTCGTGAAACCAAACAAACCAAGATAAATATTCATTGTCTTAGAAAAATGTTGCTTTTGGTGGTTACTCCGGAAGCAACGGAAACGTAAATAATCAAACTGACGTCTTCATGAATTTGGAGCGGCAATATTATCGTAATATGTGAGAATGATGAGTCACAAACCCGTGGTTTAGAAACTGAGAGAAAAACTGCGTAAATTTAACTAATAAGACCGTTTTGTTCAAAGAAAAGAAAGTTGCATATTTCGCCATGTCAAGTAGCTGTCGACTGTCCCGGAAAACTTCTTGTTATCCTAGAGCACACCTCCGTTAAAGGCAGTAATACATACGCAGACTACATAGTATGTAGCTACATACTTACATACATAGGTACCTGTCCTTAGCTTTTGTTCCGACAACTTAAATGTATGTTTTATTCAGGCGCTTGTAGACACGATAGTAGTTTTATATTGTGTTCTCGGTATATTCCTATGAAAATAAGCAGGTAAAATAACATTTACCTAATCAGAATTAGGCAATCATTCAAATTCAACAGAGGTGCATTAAGTTTATGAACACGTGTGTGAAAATGGCAAGCTATGTTTCCATTATATTAGTACTGTGATCGAATGGAACCAAATTGCCATCTAAATCCTAAAGCTTGTAAATCTACGTAGATTTATTAAAACTACCAATATCGATTTCAGTACAAACAAAAATTGTCCAAATCTAACCAATTTTTGCTAAAAATCGGAAACATAACTCCGTCCTTAATAGGAAGAAGAACGAGACTCGAACGATTCGATTATGTATATTGTTATTATTTTACATTAGGAAGATGTTGTTATGTTACCTACTTATTTACTACTTATTTTATGTTATTTCGATTCTAATGTTAATAAAAACAAATGGAATTCAAATCCAGTGTCATCGATTCTACCAATCAGCAACAAAATGTAGATTTTAATTTTATTTGACGTCTTTCAATGCGTGTACACGGGGAAACAACATAATTAACTCTATTGGTTAATTTAGCTACGCCAATAAAATTGGTGGATAATCTTTCCATTCCATATTAGTATTTTAATATAGTAGGAACACATAATGTACGAATGAGAATGTATAACACGGGACATTTGAGCAGAATTCATTAAATACACAAAAAAACGTGAAACATTTTTTCGTCCTAGTTTTCGGTATCATTCGTGAGGTTTGCGCATTGGGTCGCGCCGGTTTATGCCATCAGTAATAACACCACTTCGTATTGAATTTACCACATTCAGCAGCTAAAAACTTTTCAAATAAATCACAATCAACAGTAAAACCAGGTTTGCTTCGGGATACAATCGGTTATGTACGTGGTAGGCTGTAAGGGCGGGATTCGGTATTCGGGCGGTAAGACCGGGCGACGCGGCGCCTAACACGGGACTGCCGCCCGCCCAGCCTTCCCAAACCCCCTTGCATCCACCCGCCCGCCCGTGCGCCAACAAAACACTGATTATGGAAACACATTTATTAGCCAAAAACTCTACTTAAAACTCTATCTTTCTACTAACGTACACAGTTATTATCGCTTAGCGTTCAATACCATAAAATTGTTTAATTGGTTACTTCTAATATTTTTCAACGAATTATTTTAACATCACAATAAAGCACTTAGCGAATTATGCTCATATTTCGAGTGTTCTTCATCATCACACCTGCGTGATTTGTAGACGTGGCGCATGAGGCTGCCGCCTAGGAGGGCGTCGTGGGCGGTGTCTGCACCAATCGCTAAAAGCTCGCAGCCGTCGTGAACACGATGTTCGTGACGGTAGCTTGCACCAGCTGCGTTTCCGTTCTTCAGCTCCGAAAGTTGTCGTCATCCTGTCTCCAGGTTTAGGCACGTGATATACAATTTTTGGGCTATCCACAACCTCCGAGCCTGGAGCCACCCGATATTTCACTCCTGATATCGCTTTTTTTATTCCGTTAAACGCTCGTCGTGCCGAATTTTCATCTTCTTTTATATCGAATGTGGTTTCTCGTGGTACAGCAGTTAGACGTCCGGTTGGTGGACAACTTGGGACGATCGTCTTGTCAGGTTCATCTTGACTACGTTTGATAAGCTGTCTCATCCTGGTGAATATAGTGGGAGGTGGTTCGGTGTTAGTTCCAACGGTGCACACTCGTGGCCTGCTGTACTCCTGCTCAACATTGATGGTAGCAGGAAACGTTTGGCAAGGCAAAGTCGCTGCGCGTCTGGGTAAAGGCTCATCTTGCAGATAAGCAATATGCAGGGTGCTGATGCTCAAGGGTTGCTGCGGAGGAGGCCACAGTTCCCTAGTCGGTGGAACGGGCGACGGTCGTTCCCCCAGCATGCGACGGGCGAACTCGCCCGGCTGCCACAAGTAGCTCGCTGTCAAGTTGCCGTGCGTTTGCATCACGATACCAATCTTCACTAACAGTACACAAACTACGCGCGCTAATCCAATACTAGGCTTCGTGCGCTTGTGGGATTTCACTGAGATATGTCAGTAAAGGCATTTTAAATTGGATCAAGGATGGTGAATATTTAATAAACAAAGGGCATGTCAATAATCTACTTGGCTTTATAGTTTACTCAACATATGTATGATAAACAAATAATATCATACGTGCCGAATAGAGTGTGTGTTTTGCGTAATGAGGGTAAAAGTTTAAAAGGTAGTTTAAATGGTTAATGGTGAAGCAAGCAGAGGAGAGAACATTTCTAATTAATTCGGATCCTACTTCCTAGGAAATAAAACCATCGCTTTACAAGTTGGGACAATAACTGCGTGTATGCACACGCAAACAATGAATGCATTGCAATGTAACACGCAACTTGACTTTTTGTTCTCAACAGTGACGGGACTAGTTTTGCCAGACAGAGTCATCGAAGTGTAGAAGTCGGAGATTGCTAGTTCTTTCTAGTTCATGATATTTTAGACTTCTGTAGAAGACTTATTGCAATTATGACTTTAGGCTAAATTAGCCATGATCATAACCATTGGTACAAGAAGACTAATCCTCCGTCTGTCTTCGATCCCCAAAAGGTCAGCAACGCATTTGTGACTCATCTGGTGTTGAGGGTTTATAAAGGGATAAATAAAATCTGTGGATTAGGTTCCATTTTTAAGAAATGTGTGGAGTTTCTGTCAAAAGCAGAAATCAATCCAGATATTTTGGATTTAGGATAGTTTATTAATTTCGGTCGAGAGTCGATTGCTTTTCGATTATCCCATAAAAAAGATTAAATTGCAATACATCTCTGTATGTCCTTACTGAAAACCTTGATTTTATATAATATCTTGTAGCACAATGGAATACTATGCCATCATTGACGCTAGCGATGACTGTACATAGTCCATACATGTTACGCATTATAATAAGTTATCAAACAGTACTTTGCAATATTATTATAATATTTTTTCCTTCTTTTAATGCCTAAATTGCTGAACCAGCTTGACAAATAATGATACAGAAATAGATTTTGATATTATAAATTATGAAGAGATTATTATGCATTTGCGTGTAAAACCTAATTCTTGAGTATTCAATGTAATATATTGCGAATTAACTAATATAATAAACAGACTATCATTAACACATGACGTACTTCAGAAACCACAAGAGCTAAGGTCGTAGCTGCTCCGCTTATTATCGTTGAAGTATGGTATATCTCTCTTATGGATTATACAAATAAGTATTAATTTACTGTATCAACTTTCATGTAAACTTTTCTGCATGTTAAATTCCCATCTTTTAATTTATTTCCCGCCAAAATATATTTAACATGTGTCATGTCTAATCAAAATGACTGCAATGTATTGTTTTTTTTTATTTGTTTAAACTAAAGACATAGAGACACATACACACTATAATAGGAAAAAACTAAAAATAAATTCTCTAAGTAAAGCTAGGAACCCACAGAATCCTGGTGCTAAAAAAAATAAAAAATACGAATAAAAATATAGAAAACTATACTAGTCTTACCTTTAGTGGTCTTGTTATAGTCACAGTCTCAATAACTGTAGTCGAAGCCATTGTTAAATAAAGTTATACCTGCAAAAAAAAAACAAGTTTAAAAATAAATGCAGGAAATTACAGTATTCAATGATTAAATTCACTTATTTAGTATTAATAGTGACAATAATTTATTAATTTCAAGTATCTGTTCTCAATAACAATAAACTTTATTATAAAAATAAAATATCAGAAAAATAGCTTTAAAATTAATTTGAAATAGGTAAATGCTTTGACATTGAAAACACAATCGAGTTCTGAATATCATATTTTATTATTAAAGGTCACTTTATTTTGGGTAAAATCAATTTGGATTTAAAATTTTGTTTTATTATTTTTACTCTGTTCCACCTTCTATGCACCACAGATGATGACAAACTACTAATATTACCTCCTTGTTGATAAGTACAAAGACTACAAAGTATTGTTCATTGTTTGCAGTGTATGTGTAGTAAAATCAACAACTTTGTGAAATACTTGATGCATTATAACATTTTTATGTTCTTATCTGTGTGGTTGTATACAGTTTTACTTAGCTTATTTATTTATTAATAATTAGTAATTATTAACATTTAATAGTAGAATTACTTCTATTCAAAATACTTTTCATTGGACAAAACTTAGATATTAATATTCATATTAATTATAACGTTTTACAAGGTTTTTAATATAAGGAATTATTATTCCATAGTATCTGCCTGGAAGACCATGAGAGATGGGCGGGTTATGTATGTATGCAAAGTAATTGATTGTGAATTTAGTAATGCTTGTTTAACAGTAATAAATAAATATGAGGTCAGTGTTTTTGTTGCAATCTGACCTTACAACAATATTACCAGTTTCTTTTAAATAGATTTAGAATCCTCTATTTTATACATATTTTTATTTTTTAAATATAAGTAGTCCAGCACTTTACAGTGCAAGGACAATTTTATTCAATGTGGAATTTAATCTTTCAAGTAGTAGTTAAACTAGCTAATTTATCTATAAGTGTTACAGTTACAATAGAGTCAATAATAATCATTAATTTCTAGACCACTCCTTAAAACTTTGAGATATATGAACTAACTTAAACATAATGATGACTGATTGCACACAACATGATTACATTTCTTGTTCATACCTATTATAGTTGTTATTATTAAAAATAAAAATTTAGTTCTAGGCCACTGATGACATAAAGAAAATGTAGGTAAAATTGCCAATGACCGTATTGATGTTATTTCATTGAAAACTGGTCTGGCCTTGACCAATACTAAATTAGATGTGACTCAGAATCAGAACTGGTATAATAATTTACATTTCATAACAAAACATAAGGTGACAATTCCATAATGTCTTGAAACTGTTTTTTTTTTTTTCGTTCATTTCGAATCGTTCATTACAAGCTAAAACCTTGTGTCTTCGCATAACTATTACTATATTAAATGAAAAAATGACCTAAAACACAGCATTGTTCTAACTGCACACAAATGAACACATGGAGACTACTAATACCGACATAATGTTGATATAACAATACAATACTACAACACAATAAACAAATAATTGAAATATTTTGCACATAGGTACATGAACTAATTTAAAAACCACACAAAGCTCCAATGTTTGTTAGCGATTTCTTCTATTAAAAATATCAATGCAATAATGAATATCGAGTATAAATAATAGAAACAATATCTATAAAAATATTATTAAAAGAAACTCACTCAGTAATTCATAGGAAAATGATATTATTAACGATTAAACTTAGATTTTACAAAATAAATAATTCATTGCATTGACTGACAAACAATGACAGAAGAAGAAGACTTGAGATTCAATGACAAACTAACGAATGGACGCGCATAGACTATAGCAGTCAGACGCGTTGCAAGGTCAGGAAAATAAAAAAACTGAAACAATAAGAAATGTTACTTTAAATCCTAAAAAGTTACAAAGCCGTTATAAAATAAATGTAAATATTTTATTTTAATACTTAATAATTATTTAAATAAAGGACAATAATTGGAAAAGGTAATAAACCGTATAGTTTAGTATAGACAGTGACAGTATTGTGAAATCTTTCAAGTTTCAAATCGTAAATGTCAATTTATTTACAGTTGATGCTAGTGCAAATAACCTGTCGTCGGCGTCTGTGATTGGAAATATCCTTTTTGCCGCTTGCCGCTTTATGCGGCGCTAAAATCTTGATTTGGCAAGAAAATACATCTCGTTACATTATAAACACGTGAACAATCACAATGGCGGTTGTTAAATCTTTAATGATACGGGGCATTCGAAGTTTTGGACCGGAGGATTCTGATGAACAGGGAATACTGTTTGAAAGTCCTCTAACACTGATATTGGGACAAAATGGATGTGGTAAAACAACTATCATCGAAGCTTTGCGTTATGCTATTACATCGCAAATGCCTCCAGGGATGGGTCATAGCGATTGCTTTGTTCATGATCCTAAAGTTAACAGAACTACCGAAGTTCTGGCGCAAATAAAGCTGAAGGTAACCAATTTTACTTCTAAACAATGACCTACATCATTATAGGTTAGTTAATCAGGTTCCAAATGAGACAATTATTGTATATAAAAAATGTGAATGTTTCAGTTAGCAAATGCCCAAAATAAAAACATGGAGGTTACAAGATCCATGAAGGTTGTTTTACAAAAGAAGAAGGCTACGTTTCGTACTCTGGACTCTTTACTCTCAGTTACTAATGAGACTGGGAAAACAAAGGATATATCAAAAAAATGTGCTGATTTAGATGCAGTTCTTCATGATGAGCTGGGTAAATATAATCTTACTATACGGAACATAGATATCACAGATTCAATGTTTATTTATCATCAATACTCATATTTCATTTTCAAATTCTCAAATCACAACTCTAAAATCTATGATTCATTCATTAATTCATTTCTTTTTAAATTCTCTCATCACATGCATTTCCATTCATATTGGGGCATTTACATAATGCTCAGTATTATGGACAGACTTACCACAGGTAACATAATTAATACAAACTTATTCTTATTGGATAATAGTATTTTTTATCAGTCGTAAGAATAATATAAGTATTTGTACCTATCTGATTTATTTAAATATCTGGGACCAAAATTATTAGTGTGATTTGCTTTCCAGGTGTGTCGAAGGCAATTTTGAACACAGTCATATTCTGCCATCAAGAAGAATCAAGTTGGCCATTAGATGAAGGCAAAAAAGTTAAAGAACGATTTGATGAGATATTTGACTCTGAAAAATACAGCAATTGTTTTGACCGTCTTAAGAAAATTCGAAAAGCTTTTGCTACTGATATTAAAATTCTTGGTAAGTTATATATTTTTCTTGTGTTATAATAACTCTGTGTATAAGACATTTCCTAAGCAAGTTCCAGAAAATAAATACCTAACTGATATATTAATACCTCTGTTTTGGTTCTAGTTGATAGAGTTGAAGTACTAGAAGAACAAAAGAAGGAATTGGATAAAAAGAAACTAGATGTAGTCAACACAGAAACAAGAATCTCTGAAACTGAATTAAAACTTGCTGAAATAACAAGTGATATAAAACCTATTGAAGAAAAATTGCAGACAATCAAAGCTTTGGAAACTACACTCAATACATATGATTCAAAACTAGAAAAATTAAAAGTGAAGTATGTTATTTATTTAAAACTAGTTAATCCACCAATCAACATTGTGTAGTGAGACCCTGTGACTGGGTAACAACTGTTTTCTACCTCATAATATGTTTTGATAAGTTAAACCATCATATCATTATATCAACAATCTAATATTCCTGTGTGTGATGTATTTCAGATTGGATAACTGCCATAAACGAGAACAAGAGTTAAAAAAAGAAATAAAGAATGTATTTGAAGGAACAGTACCAGAATTAAAGGAGAAAATTAGTAAGACACATATAATTAATGGTGATTGTACAATCTTTAATGCAGAAACATAATCCATAATAAATCATGTTTCAGGCAACTATGAAGGTACTGTGAAAGCCAACCAAAAAGAACTTGAAGAATCATACACAAAAATATCTAATTTTAATAATGAAGAACAAAGGGTCGCCAATGAAAAGGATGCAAATAAGTCTAGACTTGAAAAACTACTCTTGTTAGACAGCCAAAATGATAAAAAAGTGTTGGAGCGAAATGAATTAATTGTAAATGTCGCGAAATTGGCTGGTAAGAATAAAATGTTAATCATGAAAGCAAAGATCCTTGTTATAAAGTTTATTACTTCATTAATGCATAATATATGTATATATTTTCAGAAATTGATGATATTGTCACTGTTGAAACTACTGAAGAAGCAGATCAAGCAATGAATAAAATCAAACAAAAAGTGAAAGGTCTGCAACAGGAACTTGATGAATTAAAGTCATTTGCAGACAAAGAAGAAAAGCAGAAGCAAACAATAGTTGATGAGAGCCGTGTAGCTCTTGTAAGTATACATTTTGTAATGTGATTAAACATAATGAAAAGAAGAAGCGTAGAAATTAAATTATGTTCGTATTTGCATTTCAGTCTCGCCACAATCAACAAATATCAAACAAAGAGAATGATATTGAGAAGAACAAGAAAGAAGTTACAAAGTTAGAGAAAGAGATTCTTGCAGCTAACGAATCTAAAGTGCGCCTGGAAGCTGCAGAAATAAAATTGAAAACTGCTGAAGAGTGAGTTTTTAGGAGTGCTACCTCTTATTCATAGCTGCCAAATCCTTATTTCATTCTTACTTTATTTTTTCCACAGAGAATTTGAAAATGTAGAAAAGCAATTGAATACTGAGGAACATCAACATCAAATTAATGAAGATGAAAAAGAACTAGAGAAGAATGATGACGAACTCGATGTAATTGATAAAAAGGTAACTAAAATTGAAATAAATAATAATATTAAAATGTATGTGAAATCTTTTAAAATGGATGATATTATGTTTCTATTTTTAGATTACAAAATTACAAAAACAAACTGCGAAATTGAAAGAACGTGAGATGAAGGAAGATTTGCTGAAGCAAAAAGATAAACAATTTTCCACACTAAAAAACAAACACAGGTCAGCCCTAACAGAACTATTGGGTAATATGCCAGAAAAAGACTTCGTCTTGTCTCTCAAAAAGCTAGAATCCAGTTTAAATTCTGAAGTGAATTCTTTGAAGAAAAATTTGAATAAGAAACAGACACAAGTAAGTTTGATATTTTTATTTTATTATGAACTAAACTCTCATGAACCTAATATACACATTTATGTGTCTTGTGAGGCATTTGACAGAGCTTGTTATAAAAATGTTACTTTCTAGACATTCTTGCAATAATTTTGTAGTATTTATGTTTTATATGTCTTTATAGTTTTAGTGTCATTAAGGCATTATAAGTCACATAAAAATTATCATTGAAAAATCTATCAGTTTTGAAACTACCTAAGGGATTCCCCAAGGCTCGATATTTGGGCTAACTTTAGTTAAAACAAAAATTACATCATTTTATTCCTTTGAATTAGGTAACTAAGCTTGAAGAAGAACGGAAGCATGTTCGTAATACTTTAATGGAACGAAATAAAGAACAATTGGAAGCTGAGGAACAAATGTACAAAGCTTGTGGAACAGCTACTTACGAAAATACATTGAACAAAGTTATCGCCAATGTAGAAAAGTTACAGGTTTGTTCTATTTTTGTATATATTTTTTCTATTTACTGAACTAGTGTACTGGATAATTGTATAAGTTTAGTTTTCTTTTAAATGTTACAGGAAGATCGCAATGTTCTCGAATCTTCTATGTTTGTCATCAAAAAATACGAGTCTCAACTGAAAGATAACAGTTGTTGTCCTTTGTGCAGTCGTGGATTCGACTCTGAAAGTGAGGTATGTATTTGAACAAAATCGTTATTTATTAACTAAATCATATAATGTCTAGGCTTAACATTACATATAATTTGTAGGTTACAGATTTGATAACTCAGCTGAACACGAAAATTATGAATGTTCCTGATCAACTTAAGAAAGTAGCTGAGGAGTTGCAAGTAGAATCTGCTAAGAAAGATGAACTTCTGAGTATGAAGTCTCTGAACGAAAAAATTAAAAACTTCAAAGAGAAGGACAAACCACAACTAGATCAACGTATTGCTGACCTAGAGACAGTAAGTAAAGATTTTTTGGAAGCACAATCATAATAAAAATTGCATGTGTTTAATAATATGTTATTTTCTAGAACATTAACAAACTGACAGAAGAAGTAGATGGCATATCCATGTCTCTCTTAGAACCAGAACAAAAGTTACAAACCATAAAGCAAATTCAAGGAGAAATGCCTTTACTTGACCGGTGCAACCAAGAAGTTAAAACTTTGACCAAAGAGGTAAGCTTTGTGAAATTGTCCATCAAATCAAAAATATATTTCTAACATGAAATCAGTATGTATAATATGTGAATATTTCTGGTTGTTTTCAGTTTGAAGCAATAAATGCGCAATGTTCCGAAGTAGATACGGATATGACGTTAGAAGAAGCTACTGCTAAGCAAGCAGAGTTAAAGCAGAAGATTTCAAGTTTGAAAGCTAAACTTAAAACTGCACAAAAGACACTCAATGCGCACAACAAGAAGATACAAGAATTAGGTTCAAAGAAAAATAAAATTAAAGAAGAATGTCTTAATTTGCAGAAGAAGGTAAGAAAACGTTTTCTTGGGCAGTTATAAGAAAATAATTCTGGCAGTACTAACTTGGAGTGTTGACAGGTTCAAGAGATATACAATCTTCAAGAAACTAAAAAACAATTAGAAGCTGACAGGGAGAGGTTTATAACAGAGCTAGCTGAACTGAGGAAAGGAGTTGAACCTCTTAGAGAAGCGCTTAAAGAAAAAGAACAAGCTAAAGCAGAGGTTGTTAAGAAGAACAGGTAATTATAGATACTTGTTAACATCAGTTTTCATCAAAGCCTAGAGCTTTTGGTTGAGGCGTATATCTATATCTACACTGTTTTTAGTACAGAATAGTAATCACTTGTTTGATTTTTTATTTTGTCCATTGATTTATCCCAAGCACTTCTTTTAAGGAAATTATGTAATTCTAATGAATCAGAATTTTAAATCAAATTAAATATAATTATGTAATTTTTCAGAGAAAAGATTGAGCACAAGAACAATGAAATAATGAAAATCACAATAGCTTTTGACAAAGTAAAGTCAATTGATATTGATATCAGACAACATTTAGAGAGAAATATTCCACATGAAAAGGCGAAGAAGGAAGAAGCGATTAAGAAACTTGAAGATAAACTGAAGCAGATTCAGTGTGACAGACAAGCAACTACAAAGAGGATCGAGACATTAAAAGATGAAATTAGCAAAGAAAAGGTAGTAAAAGAAACAAATAACGTCGAGTCGTCGCAAGCGCGATTGAAGACCAAAAGGCCTTCTAGCCAGTCAAAAGTAGGTTTTGTTGGTTGTCTTGAAATATACATTTTTCTTCTTTCCAGATCTATAAACGTGAATTAGACGACAATTTAAAACTAAGAGAAGTACAGAAAGAAACTCAAGACTGTGAAAAGGAAGAGGCTGATATCAAAGAAAAGCTAAGTACAATCAACAGAGATATGTTGAAAGAAAAGAATGGCTTGACGGACAAATATAAGAAGCTATGCAGCGAAAAGTTTAAAACTGATGGTATATTGGATGAACTTCAGGTATGTATAAACATTATAATTATTTATTTTAAATATAAAATCTATGAACTATATTTTCATTCATCTCGTAAAATTACAGACTACATTAAAAAAGAACAAGGTAGATCTTAAAACTGCTTTAGCAAAAAATACAGAGAAGAAATATAGAGAAAAATATTTTGAGTTGCAAGTAACAAAAATGCTGGACAAGGATGTCAAGGATTATGCCGCTGCGTTAGAGACTTGTCTTATGGAGTATCACAAGAAGAAAATGGAGAGCATCAATCTTATCATCAAGTATGTACTGTTGATATAAAAGGTGTTTCAATAATTAAAAAAAAATATAATCTGTTACTGGTAAAACTATGTTTTTGTATAAATCTTTCTTAATCTTTTCTTCAGGGAGCTTTGGAGCAAAATTTACAGCGGTAATGATATAGATTACATAGCTATCAAAGCTGAAGGAAGCATGTCAGATAATTTAGAACGGCGTAAATATGAATACAGGTAAGGGAACATTGATTATAATCATTCTGCTACTTATACATGATGATTGAAATTATTTTACTTAGATTACTGTAACACAAGTTAAAATAAAACATTAATCTATTAAAATACTTTCAGAGTGGTCCAGTGTAAAAATGGCGTTGAAATCGACATGCGAGGTAGATGTAGTGCTGGTCAGAAAGTCTTGGCCTGTCTTATCATTAGATTGGCTCTCGCGGAAACATTCAGTTCTAGGTAAGTGGGCACGACTTTGTCTGCTGCAGTTGTTCTTGTTACATATCGGTAAAAATGTTTTCAATATTATTTGTTGACAAAATAATAAGTGTTGTATTTACTTTCTTTCAGATTCGGAGTGTTAGCTTTAGACGAACCCACAACAAATTTAGATCAAGATAACATCAAAAGTCTTTGCATGGCCCTCGGTGAGATCGTGCAGGAACGAATGATGCAGAAGAATTTCATGTTCATTATAATTACTCACGATAGGGAATTTATTGAGTCTCTAGGTCAGATAGATAAGGTAACACATTTCTTTGAAGTATCTAGAAATGATGAAGGTAAGTCTAGAATAAAGAGAGTTAAGTTTACATAATTTTCTTGTTACTAAATGTAAGAGAAGTATTGTAATCATTCCTAAGTTTCTGTAGTTGTTAAGAGGCAGTGCCTTATTTCATTTTATAATTATAATGTTATATTTTTTTTATAAAGATAATAAAAACATTTATTATAGTTGTTTTTCTATTTATTTTAACATGTCTTTGCATAAAAGTTTGGATAACATAAAATAATATTTGTATATGAATTAGCACTTGAAATAATAACTTACTATGGCTAACTATAAATCATTTAATTAGCTGTTACGCCTGTAATGAAATTTAAAGGTTCACAAATGGCATTCTGATCAACTTGAAGAATGTTGCTTTCTTGTAGAACAGTTAGTGTGACACCTAGTAGCTCTGCTACTTGAGTAGAAGGAAAAGATTGCGCCAGACACTTCGCGATATATGGCACCAAGTCTTCAGTAAAACAAACACATAAGGACATAAAGTTCTGCTTCTCAGTATCAGTAAAGCTTTGCTGTTCTCTATAGTAGAAAGCAAGTAATACTTGAACAGCCTTGTTGAATGATTCTCTAAATGAATTGTACACTTCCTTTACTATATTCAATGGTGCTGTAACTCTCATTGAGTTTAATACTGATAGCATGCCATTGCAATATTCAGCCAGAGGATAGTAATCAAGCAAGTTTTCTGGTGGTCCTGTTGTTACAGTTTCATTTATGGGCCGAGGCACATTCTTTATGCTCGGCACTTTGTATGTTCGCATCTGTGTTTCAAACTGATTGTCTGCCTTTTCTAGTCCACTATGGAATTGCGTAAGAATGTTATTGCGAAACAGTGGTGTCAGAACACATCTCATATCTGCCCCAACTCTTCCAAATGATAAGCAGAGATACATGCATTGATTTAAAAGGGACTCAAAACTGGCTTCATCTTCCTTTGGTAAATCTTGGTTTAATATTTGCGCCAATGTTTCAACCTGAAAAGTAAACAATATAGTGATAGAATTTGTTGGTATAGCTGTACACTTTTATTTGCAAGAACTATTTAATACCTTTAATTTCAACCAGCAAGATAAGGCGCTAGTGCCACTCAATTCATCATCTCTAATTTTAGCCTCTTGGGAATCTGACAAGAATATTGACTTGTGCTGTGTTAGAACATTGAACAGATGAATTCTGTGTAGTTCTATGATTCTTCTTAATAATCTTTCTGATGCTGAAATTAAATACAATATAACATGTTATATCATCTTATAAATATTCAACATCAATAAAATAGATTTTATGAGCCAGTATAAACAACTTACCTTCTGTATTCTTAGCATCTTCTAAAGCTTTTTCGAACCAAGCATTTCTGGCCTTCAAGAAGTGCACATGCAGCCCATCAGCACTAGCTGTGTTTTTATTGCTCCCTGAATATAAACTGCTTTCATCTTCATCTGTTGATCTGTACACTGTGTTTGCTCTGCGTAAATAACCCAAAATCTATAAGATGAATAAAAACAATAGGATATTATTTGTACACATACCACAAGCTATCAATTAATATATTTGAACCATTGCAACACTTACTTGCAAACATTGAGGTAAGGGCAAATCATATCTCAATTGGTTGAAAAGGTGATAAAGAGTTTCAAACCACAGGGTCATAATCTCAGATGTAGTATTCTGTAAACACATGTAAGGAATGAAAACATAAAATTTCCTTCATAAGAAGTTGACTGGAGCAATAAATACAATTAAGTATACCTGTACAACTGGTATTTCTGAGTACCTCTTGGAAAGGTTACGGACAAATGTGAAAATATCTAAAGCACTCTCATAATCTTCAGCATTTAATGCCTCACGCATTAGAGACGGCAGTTCTAACAATTCAAGTAACTTGTCACTTTGGTTACGAATAGTGCTGTAGCGGCTGGAAAATTGAAACAATATTTTTATTATATGCAAATAAAATAAATTCTCTATATATTAACAAATAAATCAAATATTTTTACCTCTTCTCTTTAACAATATTACCAGCAATTTGCGAAAACTTGTCACATTCTTGTAAGAATATTGGTGTATTGTCCAGGAATGATGAAAGTGAATCTTTTGACTTTGCTAAGTCATTTATGATTGTGTGTGATATCTCAGCTGTTTCCACAAATGTCTTGTAATTAGTGAAAGCAAGCTCTTGTGTCTGTTCCGTCAACTGTTTCATCTCTTCGGTCAATCTCTCTGGCTCCTTACGAATATGTTCCCAATTTTGTGACCCCAATTTTTTTATATAATCTGTAACATCGCTGAAGTATTCTGCATTCTCTGTAATAAAAATAATAAACACTACAAACAATATTCTGTACAAATAATGTAATACAGTATTTATAAGGTTTGTTTGTTAAATGGCTGTATGTCTACTTAGCTTCAATCCAAAAAAATTATATGAAGAAGACAAGGTTTATCTTTAGGATATGAGACTCGTTAATCGAGTGGTCACAAGCGTAACTTCCAAACAAGGCATATCAAGTTCCATTTGGATTACTGGTGACAAGTGGTTGTTGCATGGAACATAATGAACTTCTGCCTAAACCGTCGGGGATGAAAACGACGTGATTGTTAGGTAATTTCTAAACAATATCAAGGCTTAAAGTAATTTATTTAACTAAGTCCCGGTTTGTATAAAACATAAACGGACATGCATCATACATGATCACATCATAAGCAAAAATACGAAAAAGAATCCACTACCTTCCGCAGAGTCAGGGAATAGAAGTTGACACAGTTCTTTTAATTCTTGTGCCATTTTTAATAATCCAGAATTACTTTTTAAGAGATAAATAAACAACTTGTACACGAAATCATACAATCAGTTTCTGTCTGTCATATTGCTGGCAGGGCTGACAGTTGGCAGTTTATGTGAACGTCAAATGACGTAAGGCTTTGTTTACACGAACACGAACTGGTGGTGGTGATCATGAAGGTTTCGTTAATATTATGAGATAGAGATATTATTATATTTATTTAGTATGCTAGCAATACATTTAAAAACCATCCAAAAAACGAGTCGTGATAAAACATCGAATCAACTATTAAAATCATTACGTTTTGCTTACCAACCACAGAACTAATACTAAACAAACCATAAAGGTTATGTTGTCTAATATGCCTTTTAACCTAAATTTACTATTAAATGTTATTATTGTATGACGCATTTAATCAGTTAATTTTGCGATTAATCTTTGGTATAAATAAACAAGTTATGTTAGACTTTAATTTTGTGATTTCGTTAGTATCTTTGAATGACTCGAAGTGAGCGTTTCTTTGTCTATGGTAGGGTTGGAATGGAAATGGAAGATAGCCATTTGTCTGATAACCAAACAATAGAAAATATTGGCTTTACGTGTCCAATTTTTAGCTTAAAACGATTAATCTGTGAATATTAGACAATATCCAGGTAAGGTAATTCCAAAAAAATGTAATGACTTTGGTTATATTATTGTTTTCATCGATGATGAACTATCGATAAGTTCTATGATTGCGTCACGTAAACGTATAGATATGTAAAATAGCTATGATTATCGTGTTGAACGTGTTATTTCTTACCATGGAAATGTTATTTTTTACCATCTCATTAATAATTAAAGGTTTAATGATTACTATAACTAACCTTCTACTTTGACAGGATAACCTAACCGTTTTTTACATCTTTACACCCAAGTTGACACCATTTTTGTTTCGGCTTTCAGGCTTTATTATTAGAACTTACTTTTACAGTAGTGAATATTTTATTGCCAACGTTTGACGGTTTTGTATAATACATTTATACGTAGTTTTATGAAATGTAACCAAATGATAAGGTTATGTTGATGTTTTGATTCAAGGATGTTTTACGATGTATCAAAAATGATGACAAGAATGTAATCAGCTATTTTCTCAATAACAATATTTTCAACCATATAACTAAGATAACGAGTTTTTTCGTGTCCGCTGTGTGCAATTGTAACTAGGTATTTGTTATTTAATAAATTAATTAATTAACTTAAGTACTTGCTTTGTATTAGTAAAATACTAATTATTGCCATTTATTTTAGTTATTTTTCAAGTTAATAAAATTATGTCAAAAAATGATTTTAGTACTTCTGAACCTGTATATAATCAAGAATTCTTATCACTTACATTCAAAGTGTTTTCATGCAAATGGTCTTAATTAATGCATTTAAAATAAATGTTATTCACAGTCAAAACCCAGATACTTCAAATATAAATGAATTTGTACATGATTCTGTCTAATTGAGCTCTTCTGAATAGAGCTTATACATATGAATGTGTAAAAGTAATCTGAGTAAGTCTAGAAAATCTATTACTGACTAAAAAAGTGCCATGTTTGACTGATTCAGTAAAAGTTTGTTATGTACTTTTCCCCGTATGGATCTACATCAGCACCCATGTTTATAAACCGTTGACCAAATTGCTGTGCAATATGATTTACTATGTCTACAAGGACTTCGAGCAAATTAAATATGTTATGTGAATAATTCAGACTGGCTGAGCATGCCTCCATTGAGATATCGGCTCTCAAAATAGCTCCAGCTCATTGTCTGTTCTGTAGTTGCATTCGTCTGTACCCGCTTAGTTTCTCTATCTAATTATCATTCAAGCTTCATGCATTTAGTACATTTACTAATTTTACCTTAGTGATGTGTGCATAGTGATGATGATGATGCCAAAAAGAGTATTATACAGCGAGTGCAATGAACAAGAACTGATAGTAGTTTAGGCTTAGTAAGCAGGCTAGCTCATTGGGGTGCCATAATAACTGTTTTCTATATTTTGTAGAAGTAACACATATTTATTTACAGGTATTTCCTGGACCCAGAAAGCTGCCAATGGAGTGAAATTAGCACTTCAACATGGATGGGGAAGCTGAAGACTTCAACCTCCAGTGGGAGGAAGAAGTTGAAGTAAAGGTAAAGAAAAGAGGTTTTATCCATTTTTCGAATGCTACAATGTACAATATTTCACTGATATTGTTTGATTTTCTTGATTAAAATGGTGAAATATGGGTTTACTAAATATAAAAGCCATATGCTCAAATACTGAAAGGTTACTCAATTTTAAGTTGTTTATCCATGTCATTTAACAAATAAACTTAAAATGAGGAGCATTTGAGTATTTGGACATTAGATTTGCCAAGTCAACAGTTTCTTACTAAAACTAGTTTACTTATTCCTATTCTTATTAACAATATACATAATAAAAATTCAAACCTACATCTATCTTCTATTTAATTAGACAGTAAAATACTTAAATACCATGCAACATACATACATGACATACATGACCTTTGAATCTCACTTTTGGTTACTTATTTTCTGTTAATGTGTTGCATGTGTTTTTTTTATTTGTGGAACATCGAATTTCATTGCATTGCATTTATCACTATCACTACATAGTATAAAACTGTCGCTATTCGCCGTCTGTCTGTCTCTATGTATGCTTAGATCTTTAAAACTATGCAACGGATTTTGATGCGGTTTTTTTTAATAGATAGCACTCTATCACTTTTTAAGTATAATACATGCATATTGCACCCTTGCGAAGCTGGGGCGGGTCGCTAGTATTATACAATCTAACTGTTGCCCACGACTTCGTTCGCGTATATAATATGATTCCTGTTTTATACCATAGATGCATTTAATCGAGACAAAAATATCCTATCACCTAAGTCATCCCATACCCTGCCTGGATACCAAATTTCATCAAAATCCGTTCAGTAGTGATTAACAGACAAACAACTAAGTGTGATTCTTGTAAACGGGTTAAAAAGCAATGTTAAATTGTTGCATAAAAGTATGGATGGACATAATACCATAACATAATTTATTTTTAAAACACTTGTAACACAATAATTCGAATAGATATGGATCATAACTAAATATACCATTGATTGTTTGTCAAAAAATATTTTACATTCTGCCAAATCAAATTATTTTACTTTTTTTACTGTAGGCTGCATGCCAATGTTTCTTTAAGAATGTGCATGCAATGTAAAAATTATTCTTCTGTATTATTTTCTTCTTATGATTTTTTTATTTTCTTCAACACTGAAGAAAATGTTTGCTTTCCAGCCAGGCCCAGGTGTCGGTGGAGCGGAAGAAGTGATTACAGGTTTAGAAAACATGCAACACACACATTTTGGATCGGTGAGATACTATGTGCTTTGGTATACTTTAACAACCTTTTTTTATTTATTTAAGCTTCATGCACAGAGTGCATTAGGTGGACTTAATGCGGCAGGCATTTTCTCCCAGTCCGACCTTTGGTGTGTGGTGGTATGTTTGTGCTATCTGTTATGTTGATTGTATTATAAGTGTGATAATACAATCAATACCTATAATTCCTGAATAAAGTACGATAGAGAATAATATATCTTTTTTTTGTAAATTAATAATTTCTTTTACCAGTTGAAAGTTGAAAATCAGATATATCCGCAGACATCTGAAGAAATGATGAGTACGGACCAAATGGCAGCGGAAAACTTAATGTTTTTGTCTCAAGATGTAGTCAATTACACAGAGACAGCTGAACTAGCTGATGATCCCAGTGTAGAGTGTGTCACTGAAGAAGTCATCACAGATGATTGGGTGATACCCGGTGGTCAAGAAAGGTACCAGTAAGCTGAACTTTTTTATTTTTTTTAATGATCTAAACTTTTTCGCATAAAGCCTTGTAACCATGTTTCTTTTTTATTTATTTCAGAGTTGAAGTTCCTATGGATCATTTAAATCACCCTGATTTGGTATTAAAAGAAGAAAATGAACTTGATGTTCCCTTGCCAACAGACCAGGTAAAAGATACAACAGTACACTTTTTTATTTGCAATAACTGCAATGACAATTAACTGAATTTGGATAGCTTAACACATGACATCATCAACATTATCATTAGTTTAAATATGTGTAGATAAATGAAGGTTCCATTCAAGCACATACTTTATACAGTTTTTTTTATCTACAGGATGAATACACAGCGATGCGGCCGTGGCCGTGCGACTTCTGTTCACGGAGGTTCCGTAAGAAGGCCGCGTTAATGAACCACATGGTTGCTCATCAGAATGATCGACCGCACGCCTGCAATCTATGCGGCGTGCGATATGTACGCAAGTGCGATCTCATGAACCATCTCAAAGTCCACGCCTATGTGCCTGATAACCCCGATTCCATAGATTATGGTGAGTCCATAAACATAATTAGACACTCGTTTATTTTGCACCACAAGGGTTAACAGAAACTATACAGCCACCTTGCATCGTCTTTCATAGCTTCTATCACATTCAGTTAAGATAATCTAATAGTATAAATACTTAGTAATTTATTTAATAAATAGTAATTTTGTTTGTAAAGGGGATGTTTTGCACTTTTGTATGAGACTCCGGCCATAACATGTACATAACAGGGAAGGTAGGAATTTTCCCACCTTCCCTATTATTATTTAGGCAACTGCATGGAATAGAGCAAAATTTTTATCCTACTTTTAAGTATTCATTGGGTACAAAATAAAAATTAAAGATATTTGACGTTTATCGTACGAGTGGCTGTCATAGCCATGATGACAGATTCGTTTTAATACATAAGAATCAGAACTTACCAGTGTTATGAAAAACAGTTCTTATTTACCTAATGTCATACAAAATTAGCTATGTTTGTCTTGTATTTATTAATTACATATTGGTATTTTTTTATGGAGTAGGAGGCAAACGAGCAGGTGGTAAGCGATCAGCGCCGTCCATGGACACCCGCAACACCAGAGGAGTCACAGGTGCGTTGCCGGCCTTATAAAAAGGAATACTTTCTTTCTTGAATCTTTTCTTGAAGGTTTGAAGGTCGTATCGATTCGAAAATAGCGCCGACGACAGATGATTCCACAGTTTTGCTGTGCGAGGCTGAAAGCATCGTGAGAAGCGCACAGTTGTGGCCTGCCAACCATCTATATGGTAGGGATGTGTATGCTGTCGTGAGGGTCGATGGCGAAAAGTAGCGGCAGGTATCAGGTCAAACAATTCCTCAGAGCACTCCCCGTGGTATAAGCGATAGAAAATGCACAACGAAGCTACGTCTCTACGCATTGCCAAAGTGTCTAGCCGGTACTCGGGTGCCCCTGCCCAAAGATGAGAACAGTATTCCATGTGGGGATGAACTTGCGCCTTGTATAGAAGCAGGCGGTGGGCCGGGTTTTAATACTGCCTCGATTTATTGAGCACACCAAGCTTCCTCGAGGCTAATTTGGCCTTATCCTCTAGTCTAGATGATCGCGAAACTGGACGTCGCTCGAAATGCTGACACCATGTATTCCAATACCGATTGAGGCAGTTATAAGGGTGCTTTGAAACTGAGGAGACCAACGGCAGTTTCTTAGCGGTAAACACGCAGACCTGAGACGTTTTCCCGAAAAATTTTGGCGCGGCCGGTATAGGAAGCATCGCCTGTGCTGTCATCCGCATAACAATGAATGCATAATTTCTCTGGAATCCCGTAGGAAGCAAGCTTCGAAAGAAGCGCTCTATGCCACACCCGACCGAAGGCCTTCGCCACGTCTAAACTTACTGTCAACGCTTCCGCCTTAGACTCGATCGCCTGTGCCCACCGGTGCGTTAGGTAATCTAGAAGATCACCAGCAGACCGACCTTTACAAAAGTATTGCTGGTCACTGAGCAGATGATGATCCTCTAAGTAACGCAGGAGCTGGCAGTTAATAATGGCATAATATTTTCGAGAAGAGGGACCTTATGGCTATGGGTCTGTAATTGGACGGATTAGATCGATCACCTTTTTTAGGGATCGGGTGGACTAAAGCTGTCTTCCATATCGTCGGAATTACGCCTGAAGAATTATGTAAGAGAGCCGAAAAAGACGTGTTAGAACTGAAGCCAACTCAGGAGCGCACATCTTCAAAACAATGGGTGGGATCCCATCAGGCCCGCTCGACTTATGGACGTCAAGGGATAAGAGCGCCAAACGTACCGTGCGCTGGTGGAACCGTATATCCGGCATATAACTTCCGCACCACGTCACACCAGGCGGCTCGCGCCCACCGTCATCCAGTGTCGAGTTGGACGCAAAGATTTCCCCCAAAAGTTGAGCTTTATCCCTTGCGTTATGAACCAACGAATCCCCACCCATGTGCAGAGGTGGAAATGACGGCCTGCAAAAATTGCCCTCGATAGCTTTGGCGAGCGACCAGAATGCACGGGTTCCTGAAGGAAGGCGCTCAACAATTCTACCAATGTGCTGCGACTTGGCCCCTGCAATAGCTCTTTTGAAGGACTTGGAGGCAAAGTTATACTCATTTTTAGTGCGCTGGTATTTACATCCCGTGCCACCACCGCGTCGGCCCAAGCTTGGTAAGGAAGCACCATACCAGGGCCGATATCTGCCACCGACGGGGACCAGAGAAAATGGGACGAAAAGTTCCATCCCCTGCAGCACCACATCAAGAAGCCAACCCGCCTCCAAGGGTAGAATGCAAAAAACAGATAAAACATGATGTAAATAAGAAGAAATGTACAAAACTTATGTAATTCTAGAACAAGTCATCTCCATTAGACTTTTCAGATTGATTTACGCTGGGTTTACACCGAAAATCACGAAAGCCAAAATCGAGTCGAGACGAACGACACTGACTGACAGTTCAAAAAATGGTAGCGGTTGGTTATGTATGTTGAACTCGTTCAGAAAAGAATGTAATGATTTTTGTATTCACACTTATTAAGGTTTACCTAAAAAAATGTACTAGAGAATAATATTTAAATGATATTACTTAAATGCATATTTTTAATACTAAAAAAATATAGGTATACTTATATTTACTTTCTACGTAAAATTGATTTCATGAGACGATTTTAGAACGAATGAATACGATGTGAGGCGCCATGTAGAATAAAATATGGCAATAATTGAAAAATTATTATATTTTTGTACCCAACGTGTAAAGCCTAAATTCTCCAGATATTATCTTTGCTTGGTTCGTGGTATTTTTTCCTCTTTCTCGGTAACTGTACAAGTTATGGCCGAAAACGAAACATCTCCTTTGTTCTGTAGGGATCAAAGGACTAGGTATCAAGTGTGTGAGCGAGATAGATAATGTCATCGAACGGGGTAGTGTAGTGTATTGTTACGAAAAAATAGTCAAAGACGCTTCATTAGTCTTCGAGCTGAGTGTGTCTTTACATGTGGGATTTTAAATAAATAACAAATTGTTATTTATTGTTACAGAAGATGTTCTAGACAATAACCAAATCGTAAAACCAAAGAAGAAACGAGGCCGACGGAAAAAGAATCCTGAGCCAGTGGAAGAAGAGGTATTGTTTTCTTTATCTAGAGTTGCTTACATTAAACTACATTAAAAACTTATGAAGTAATGCACAAAATCTGCTACTTGTAGATAGTTGTTATTCTGAGTCTTTTAGTGTGATCATTAACGTCCAGTTTCACGATACAGTCGTGGATTAATATTCGTGCATATGTAGTGTATGCTGCAGAAGGGACGAAAACCAACACGAACAAATAAATTAATCCGCTCAGTCAAAATGCGCCGCTGTGGATCTGCCTTTACACAGTAGAAAGTCGCCTTAACTCACAGGATTACAATACTCTATCAAACTGCCAAATAAACTTTGTAGCATTTATAACCAAGGTTGTCTTATACAGAATGGTATGTGGGAGAACATGACGTCAGCGCGCACGCAGCAATGGTCGCGGCGCGCTCGGTCCCCGGCGCGACCGCCCCCCTCCCCCCCGTCCCCTGCGTCCGAGCCCCCGCCCCCCTCGCCGCCGCCGCCCCCCACGGACCCCTCACGACCCTTCGTCTGTCGCCACTGCGGGGTCGGCTTTGCCAGGGAAAAGGCCCTACAGTCACATGCCAGGGTAAACATTTCCTATATCATTTAATTTTGTAGGTATCTGAAAATGTCTACATTGTGTGAAGTAGAAAACTTGTCAATGTGTATAATATTCTTGCTTTTGTTTATGTACGGATTTCTTCTTATTTTAACGTATTGGATATGTTTTTATGATTAAAGACAATTGTTCACTAGTTACTAAACATTAATTAGTTAGTTTATGGTACTCTTTGTTAATACCTCACTCACTATAGTTCAGTAATGAATGGTCCCATCAATCACGGTCACGGACCATTAACTTATCAATCTTAACATCTATTTATTACAATTACAACTTGCTACACCATGGATTTAACACAACAAATGGACAACATGGACAAATTATTGGAAAACTAATATTCATATATGGCTACAGGTCCACGGCGGTGACTCCCCAGTGGAGTGCTCGTCGTGTGGCGAGTTGTGTTGGTCGCGGGAAGCACTGGCCACACACATGCAACAGAGACATCCACATCTACCGCCGCGGACTGAACAACAGGAACAACCATTCGAAGACTCCGACTCTGGTATGTACTAACTATAAAACTGGCTTACTTACCATCAGGTGGCCCTTTTACTGATTTGCTTTCATATCCATAACAAACATAGAGATAAATGTTGACTAGATCAGTGACATCTTTAGTATGCATAGAATAATAATTTATTTATTTATTTAAGGACAACCAACAAAGCATACACCAAAATACATGATAGGTTTTTTTTACATAATATTTTAACACTCTATAGTGTAGCCTTAATTACAGGCTGCCACGACATGCAATATAAAAGAACAGGATATTACAACAAAAAAGAAAGAAAGTTCGCTTATCAAAAAAAAAAGACATCAATTTCAATCACAATTGTTAAATTTAAGTTTTTACTTCTTTTTAATTTTTAAACTATACAATTTTGATTTTGATCTGAACATGTAGTGCATATAGTGCAGTTTAACTCTGTGAGAATGTCCTACGCAGGACAGTTTTCACTTTAGAAAGAGAATAGGACATGTCAATATCCACACTAAGTGAGCATGACAGGCGACAAAATTGTACTTGCATTCTATTAATTGAGGAAAAATGACCCAGGCTTGTTTTAAAGCCTTTACCTGAAAGCAGCCGATATCTAGACATTCGAGCCAGTTTGAAGGGCACATTCACATTAATCTGGCTAAGTAACTGCCGACAGTCAATGTGATTGTTTATTAGTTTGTACAGGAAGAGGTGATCTAGGATTTTACGGCGATTATCTAGACTCATCAGTTTAAAATACTTCAAACGAGAGCTGTGGCTGGTTAATTTATTAGCCATGGTTAGGTTAGTAAAGTAAATAATGTAGATGAAGCTGAAGAAATGTCTCAAAATCGTGTCATTCATGCTCCAGTTTATAGGTGGCATAGCAAACATGACAATAATGACCTCTTATATGATTTTTTAAAGAAAGAAAGAAATATCTTTATTTCCCGCCAAAAACAAGTGACATGTACAGATCATTCATTCTATCAGTAGGTACTGATACATACATGTTCGTGTCCCAAGTCTGCCGCGAAATGGGACCAGTTCAGCAAGTGCAAGACATGGCCTTGCGCTGGTATTCTACTGGCCTCTTAAATGACTCGCGGACGAACAAGCCACCAATTAGACATTAACAGTTTAAATGGTATTAATTAATTATACAAACATAATAATTTTACAAAATAAATGAAAAGATAAAAAATCACAACCGGGTAGTTACATATTACTTTAAATAATTTTATAAAAACGTAACAGGTTGGAAGCTGTACATTAACAATCAATTTCTATTGTTTAGGTGACGATATGGAGTTCCGTTTGTCTCCTCTGTCCCACGGCGGAGGCGAGCGTGCAGTGTACGACACGATGCGAGGGCCCGAGCTGTTCTGTCAGGACTGCGGCGTCGCCTTCCAAAGGGCAGACCTACTTAGGAGACACGTAGCCGCCGCCCACAGGTAACATTTTATACTAAACAAAAGCTAATGTAATCAACCAAATAAGTGTAATCTAAAAACCACATCAAAATCTGTTCAACAAATGAGATAATCCGAACAAATATTATATATTCATGAAAACCTCCTTTTTTGAAATCATCATCAGGTAACTTGGATGGTCATCGTTAGGCCAAGTTGCGTATCCAGTTTCTATCCATAAACATTTTTACTAGCTATCCTGCACCAACAGTCGCGGAGAACCTAACGGGATACCGGGGCTCCGGCTCGACGTGCAGGGGAAGGAATGGGGTGGTTTTTAGTCTGGTACTCGTAAGAATCTGGCACTCCCTCCCGCCTCACCCAGGCGGGAGCAGACATTCGATGATTTTCCCCCCTTGAAAAAAAAAATCCTGCACCAACCGGACGGTTGGTGGTTCAATACTTTATAATAGATACATAATATACATACTACCGATTAGTCGATCGAGATTAATTCAACACTTGTCTCGGTTCAACTACACCTTATTAAATAGTGTTTGTATGAACTAGTAAGACCGGAAACATTGACTGAAGGTATGTGTTGTCCCAGCTACAAGCGTCACTGCGACAGTTCGAGCAGTACGTGGGCGGAGCACACGTGCGACGTGTGCGGCGAGGGGTTCACGGACGCGCTGCAGCTACTGGCGCACGCCGAGGGACACGCCGAGAGACATCGCGCGCCCTCCGCCGCGCCCAGGTACACGCCCAACATATTACATTTGTGAAAACTTCCTATTATGGACCAAATAAGAAACAATCTCCGGATTGAGATTAATTTTTGATATTGACTTAATATCCTATGTCCCCCTAGATGGGGTAAAAGGCGTCCACTAAAGCTGAATTTATTTATATTAGTTGTACTAAATTTCTGTCAGAAACCCAAATAGATTCAGAGATTTTGGATAAAGATTTGGTTATTAATTTCGACTGTTATTTTATCACCTTGTTGTACTCCTCTAATGAATATCAATCACTTCCTTAAAGCAGCTATTCTTCGCTTTGATAATTTAGCTACCCCAACTTATTTACAAAATGTATTGTTACAGATTAAAAAGAATGTCTAGAGGTCGAAATAATGCAGCGTCATCGAATATTGCTCGTCAATTCCCATGCAGAGTGTGTGGTGAGTACTATCCTAATGTAACCATGTAATCAACCAAATAAGTGTAATTTTTGTATATTTGAAGCCTAATTTCTGCTACATATAAATTGTAAATTGGTTTGTCCAGGTAAAGTTTTCGGTTCACGGAGTTCGCAACAGATTCACATCCGGATCCATACCGGCGAACGACCGTACGCGTGTCGTTTCTGTTGGAAAGCCTTCGCAGACGGCGGCACTCTACGGAAACATGAGAGAATACATACAGGTACACTATAACACATTGCACCTCCTATTGTTTCTTTTATGCATCACCCAAATGTTTTGTCTTATATCTTAATAGCTTCTGCCCGCGACTTCGTAAGCGCAATCCCGTTTCTCCCATTCTTGTAGAATTTTCAGAACTTTTTTCTGTCATAAGAACCTTCTTATGACGATAACAAACACAAAAAAAAATCAGCCAAATCGGTCTAGCCGTTTTCAAGTTATGGCGTGACAACGGGAAACGGGTTCATTTTTATATATATAGAAGATTATTACTTTATACAGCTAAAGAGTTGGTTTGAACGCTCCAACCTTTGGAAATACTGGACCGATTTACCGCTACGATCAATAGGCGCCGCCGAGCGAGTGGAACCGCGTGGTAGTAGCTAGTTGCTAGATAATTAAATGCAGCTGTAGCCAAGTGCTTGTTTACATGTAGAATAGAAAACCAAATTATATGAAATTGATCTAAATTTTGACACTTGTTATCATCGTGTGTCGTTGATTTCTACTCTTTCTGTAGACAAGCGCTAAAGTGGCGTTTGGCTAAAGGCCCTGACATAAATTATGAAAATCACGGATAATAATGAGGACTATATAATTCCAGGAGAGAAGCCATACGCGTGCGCCGTGTGTCCGCGCGCGTTCAACCAACGAGTCGTGCTCCGGGAACATGTCCGCTCACACCACTCCGCGCCCGACCGACGCGCCAACGGTACGTCATCGTGTCGGGCTTGTTTCTTGTTTAACATTTTTAACGTGTCAGTAGCTGTCGTCACTTTTACATAAAAGATGCCATGATCATCATCTTGTCGTTATGTGGCAGGTGGTCCCGCGTATTGTTGCGTAGTATGTGGGCGCACTCTACACTCCAGCGCAGAGCTCGTGCAACATCTCATACAACACTGCGACGCAAACACCGCGCTCAAGAGGCAACCACAGGTGAGTACCATCTATTTGTAATTTTTGCTGATTGGATAGTATTTCATTTGTTTGTATTGTAGCTTTCGTGAGACGTACTAAATAAATTATTATGTTTTCGGCTTACTCTCGTAATAATTTGACGAGAAACTCTACTAGTTTCAAGTCATGCTAGAGGCTCATATTCATGAGTACCATTCCGCGACCCGCGACGCGGCAACTGTCGCGCTGTTACTGACCAGTAGCAGTAAATGATTACGTGAGTAAGTCGAAAACAATAATTTATTCATTTGTTGCTAATTTAATTTTGTCTCTGTTTACTCTAATGAGAGACAGGCATATGCAAGTACATATTATTATGTATATTTTGTCAAGAGCTATTCTGTCCCACCAAGTGTCATGAAACACGATTGTTTCTGTAAACGTGATAACTAAAGTGACATTTGTTTTATTTGAAGACGGGCCCACGAAAATATAAGAGGCGGCGAAAATTAAAGACAGAACAATCTCCCGCAACTCCTCGTGATTGGGAACGTAACTCGCCCTCCCCGCCGCCCGTGTCTCGGTCGCCGTCGCCCGCCTCGCACGGCTCCGACCACCTGGTGGCGTCCCCCGCGCCCCCCTCCCCGCCGTCGCCCGCGTCCCCCGCGCGGCGCAGGCGGCGGCGCGGGCCGGGCGCCGCGCGGCCGCGCATGATCCACACGGAGGAGCCCGCCAGCAGCCGGCCCCGGCGCCGCGCGGCCGCCCGCGCCGCCACGCCGCCGCCCCGCGAGCGCAGCGCCCGCCAGCGCCGGCCGCCGCGCCACCCGGCCGACGACCTGCGCGCCATGCAGAACGCCGGGGAGGCCAGTGAAGCGAGCGAGGCCGAGACGAGCACGGGAGGTCCGTTTAAATGCGAGATGTGTGCGCTAGAGTTCCCCCGGCGTGACGCGCTACTACTGCACGTGCCGGTACACATTTGACGGCCGCGCTTGCTGCGCCGGCCAGCGCCCGCGCCCGCGCCCGCGCCCGCTGCACCGCCCGGCTCGGAGTGAGCCCTGCACTACCGTCGTGTGACGAATCTCCACTGATTATACAGATGCGACGATAGTGTACCGTGTGCACTTCCCACTCGAAGCTCATTGGTGACTTATTTTTATTGTGTCTGTGACTCTAAAAAATCTTGTAGCTCTGGAAATCATTGACATCATTATTAAATGTAATAATTTACTGTATGCAATACCTATAATATGTTGTATAAAAGATAAATGTTACGTGAAGCCATTATATTTGATGTTTATATTATGTATAGCAATCTGTACATTGTGATAGATTAACAATTTTGTATGACAGCCATTCAATAATCTTATTTCTTATGCATGTTTGATATGGGTCTAATAATTATGAAATGGCCAAATGCATGTTGTGCAAGAATATTCTTTTAATAGTAATTATGATCCGTAAAATTTGCATAAAATCGAACATAGACAAAACTTATTAGAGGCTACATAAATTCAATTGTTTGCTGGTCAAGAATGACAAATGATTCAAGTGTTTATAAATTCTATAACAGTGTTTTATTTTACAGAATGGATTCACACAAAATATTTGTTTTGAATTGAACCCTAATTGTATGCATACTTTGTTGTACGACTAGACTAATGACTAAATGACTGCTGACTTGACTGTTTCGTTACATTACCGTGGTGTGTTGGGTATCAAGTGAATTGTTGTATTATACTAATTGACTGATTTATTGATTAGTTCAATGTAAATTTATTATTCTAGTGGTAAAATTATGTACATAATATGTATGTAACAATTAAATTTGTGACAGTTTTGATGTTTTCATTGTTTAGTACAAATACTGTATGTTTTGGGGTTTTTTTACTGTTTTTATCCATTTTATTGTGATATAGACATAAAAAGTTAATGTTGTGCCATGTGATGGTGATGAACTGTTTTCTTGCTTTCTCCTATTTAAGACAAGCATTACCTCTGATCTGGAATAGAAAATGTTAATTTAACAAGTTTCTCGAAACAAAATTATTATTTTTTATAGTCCTAGTATTAAAAACATTGTGCAATACATTCCCCAAAATACATGGTAATTATGTATGCCTTTCTAAAATGTATGTAAGAATTCTGTTCTTTGTATTGGAATGAGATGAGGATCAATACTATTGTACATAATATACTGAAATAAAACGTTAATATGCGATGTAATTTTGTTTTTAATTCTCTAACTAAATGTCGAAGTGCTGACCTAAAATAGGAATTGATGAAGAACCGGTGTAAACGAGTGATCACTGAAAGGGCTAGAGACGACGCATAAGATGTGACAATGTGAAAACATAATTAGCAGTCTTTCTCCGCCCATAAGCGCGTCATAGTATGATAAAGTGTGACTTACTTTAACATCTAAGGTACAGGGTCAGCCTAGTTTAGATGTTAGTATTCATAAACTGTGTGTCTAATGTTTTTGTTACAATAAACACTTTTTATTATTATTATTTATTATTATATAAATTATGACCTTTGAGGGGGGAAAATACAGGCTTCTCCCATACTTAATATTATACTCTTTGGCTTCTCCCGCCTTGGGAAGGCGACAGAAGGAGGGAGCTTCAGATTCTTATTGACTAAAAACTACCCAGTTCCTACTTCTGCTCTTTGAGCCGGAGCCCCGGCAACCCGTTAGATGCATAGAAATATTATGACTAAAGTTTATGACAAGTTCAAAATACATAACTACAGGGCCTGTTGTAGTACGGGCAGTTAGAATGGTAAATAGTAAGGACATGACTGGTAAGATAAAAATACGATAAAATGCATTTGAAATGTGTTTTTAAATTGAAAAAACAATCTGCCACCGGCTACTGTTGATTACCTCAGGGGTTTGCCGTAATGACCCCACGTGTATATTCTTCAGTTTGGTAATAGGTATCAAAGTAAGTAAATGAACAACATTTTTTCTACTAGGCACACTTCGATGACATGTTAGTGTCACGAACGTCAATGTCAATTCGTCAAAAGTCAACACGTCACGAACGATGCGAAACGTCTCCAATTTTTGTAATATTTTATTCGTATATAATACATTTCAAAATAGTAGACTAGACCATTGTGTTGTTTCGTTTCAAATCATCACAATTGCGTCATCAGACGCCTTCTAATTAAAACCGTAAGCATAGCATTATATTAACTAGATTTATGACTTTAAATAAATTACTCTGTAATAACATTTTCTAAATTTATCTAGAAAGTGAGAAACATTTATCAAGACGGCGGGACGAAATAGCATGCGACGTGCCAGAGATGGGTATCAATATCAGCCAGTGCCAAGAGTGGCAACAGATGATGCACTGGAATTTGATAACAATCGGATGGCAGAAGAACTAAGTGACAAAATTTCTTCACTCAAAGGCATATCTATTGAGTTGGGCAATGAAGTACGTTATCAGGAGAAGTTATTACGTGGTCTCGATGATGATGCTGACAGGAGTGTTGGGTTTCTTGGAAAAACTATGGGCCGTGTTCTAAGACTGGGCAAGGGAAATCATAACTACTACATATTCTACCTGTTTCTATTTGCAATATTTGTTTTCTTCTTACTCTATATTGTGTTAAAATTTAGGTGATGTGATCAATATATTTATTTTCTACCCATAACAATTCATTCCTGTGTATTATGTAAACCATTATTCCCATGTAAATAAAGATCTTGAAGTTTATTTTTCTTATTTTTTAGTCAACAGGCAAGGCAAGGTAAAATACAAATTACTAATAAAAAATGTATTTTCAATATTTACAACTAGTTAAACAGTATCACTTTCATTACAGCTATACATATCTCTTAAAATGCTACAATAATCTTCACCCACTACTATTCTAGGTACTGCGATGCGTAATGAGCATGAATTATTCAACTTAGAACAACATCTTGTAGTGTCCAGCAGTAGAGCAACAACACCACATGCATTTTGTAGTTTTGTTTTATCACAATATGCACTTAAATCATCCAAGATTATAACCGAAGGTATGTTTTGCCAATCATGTAGTGAAGAAATAATTTCTATCAATGCATCTAAACTCTTCACATACATAAATATTATCATTTTCATATAGTACTTGTTGAGTGATCTCAAATCTTGAGATAATTCTGGTAGTTCAGTTAGTTCTTCCGATGAAATGTACAAGACTTTCCCTGTTTTTGCATGTAATAATGCTTCTTCAAAAAGTTTTTTACGGTTTGTACTTGAATCTTCAAAATAAAAAGTACAATCAACTTTTTCCATTGTGTTATACAGGCTCCCAGGCTTATTTATGGATAATGGCGTACTTAGTTGGTGCTAGATTTAAGGTTTTGTTTCAAAAATCATATTTATTTTTGTATTTTTATAAAAGTAAAATAAATAAATAATGCTTCGAAAAGTTCATACTCGTTCGTTCAAATTCATTGACAGTGACACCTTGCTCCCTTGACAGTGATTTGGTTTGACAGCAATGGCAATCGAAATGTCATTACATTTTTTTTTTGATCTTGATAATGAGAGATTTAGCCATAATTGAAATTACTTTGACTGGATTCTAGGACATAATCAATAAACAAATAACTAAGTACCGATACTATTCCATCTCATCTACCCATGAATAAAAGCTGAGTTTGCTCGGTACCCACCTAGTCTAAAATTCTTCCATTTTCCAATATGAAAGAAAAACAATACTTGAATCAAAGCATTCTTCAACTTCAGACATCAACTTACTCATAGGCTGGTGCGACTTTATTGGCTTCTCATCAAACTTAGATCTACCATACTATCGATGGCTTATCTATACTTATAGACATCTTACAGTACACTATTTTGAATGATTTATATATATATAGGTAGAACCACGAATGACCACAATGGCAAGATAACTATGGTATCCATATATCTTTACACAATCATCATTAGTGGAAAAGGAAGCAACAGAAAAAGGATAAATCCGTAAAAATAACGTATCCTTATTCAATGCTAAAAATAAAACAAACATAATTTACCTAATAGCTATATTTTATTGTAATTATATCATTATATTACAAATCTAAAATAAAGACAACTTTATACTTTACCACATTTCTTACATGCTGCTGCTGGTACTTATTATAAGATCTTATCTAATAAGAATTTTCATGTTGGTGGTCAAGCAAGGTGAATTCCCTTTGGGTAATTATTTACAATTTTTCAAGTATCAATTTAGAACATGAGAGTTAAACAATCAGGGAACATCTGTATCCAGACGATTAAAACAAAAGATGGACAAACAATGCAGAGTAATGAATATGTACTAGAAATTATTCTAAGTGATATATTTTGAATTTTTGAGTGCAATGTCTAGGTCTTGTTCTCCGCGTATTACTAGCAGTTAATAAGTTTGTAGGCTCACAATATTAAAGTCTTAGTGAAAGGTAAAAGAACAAGTTCCTTAAGAATATGATATAAAAACACTAGTAGAGTGTAACCACTTAGCATTAAAGCTAATTTTGTTAATGACATTAGCTTCTTTTAAGAAGGCTACAAAGGAAGTATATTTCAATATAAAAGCATTTAATTTTATTGAGGATAAGTCATGTGGCATAAATCTACAAATTTGACTATATACAATACTAAAAACTATAATGTAAATCAGAGTTCATGATGAAAAGAATATATTCTAAACATATTTTAAAAATATGCTTTTGCTAATTGCAGGGATGATGGCGAGGCTGAATACCGATAGTTAGCTCGCCGTAAGTCGGAGTTTAGAGTAGCCACACTATATAACTAAATGCACTATGGCGTGAAAACGATATTTCATCACAATCCATAAGTGTATGTGAGAAGAAAAATACATGCAACTGTTTGTTGTTCATTATTTTTAAACAGAAAAAGATCTCGCTCATCATCCCTTGTTTAAAAGGTAGAAAGTCTTACCTAAGCTATTATACAGACTACTTTTAAAACAATATAATAATATGTATTGTTTAATTTTAACTTGACTCGTTCTCAGGCTCATTTAACATTGCAGCAAAATGGAATCAACAAAGAAATTATACATTAACTTTACATAAATTGTATAAAAAACATACAACCTAAACATTAGCCAAAAAAAAATCGTGGCTACTATTAGCTTGTACAATTTCGTCCGCAAAATTCAATCTTATTCCATGTCGTGGCAATGTAAATTGAGTCTTAGTCAAAGTTGAGAATATCCAACTCCTTTCAACATCTGAAGGACACATACTGTAATAACTTTATTTACAGCAGTCAGTCTTGTATTTGCTGATATATTTTACAGAAAACTACATCAGAGGATTATTACGTCCACCAATAGTTATCCAAATAATTCACTGCGTGTCAATTCGATGTACTAATGTTATATCTTAGTACCTGTATTGATATTTGGTTATGATTTTTATGTCAATATCAAATTGACAACAGAAAATCGGAAACACAAATCACAATTGTAAAACATGTTTGTACAGAATTTACGACTTCACGATGTAACCAACCTGTGTGTTCACACTTCACATTTAGACATAATTAAAAATTGTATTATGTGCCTTAATAAAGTAAAGAAAATAAGAATTCGACATTGTATGAAACTGTTCTGTCACATTAAGGTCTAAATCTTCAAAGCTTGGGGCTTAGAGAACAAATATTTATTTATTTGATTTTCTCTGATAAATAGTGTTTCATCACATTTCGAATTGGTCAAATAATAATTTTATTCCTGTGCTTTACTGGCTTCTGTTATTGATTCATACTGTTCTTTGTCAAGTTCAGTCATTGTCAAACTGCCATCAGGCAACATAAGTACCACTCTTCGTGTTCCACCTGTAACAATCATTATAAAAATGTTACATTGAGATACAAGTAAAAAAAAGTTATCAGCTACAATTCGACACTTCCTTAAGTAGAACAAGAGTACCTTTCTATGAACAAATATTGTCTATTGATAATACTGACCGGGTGATGGTAAGTCAGCCTGCAGAAGTTGCGCGATGACCTGCGTGGCATCCTCCCCGGGTTCTCCCTCGACTTGCACGGCGACCTGCTGCAGCGCGGGCGCTGCCTCGCCTCCAGGCATTAACTGCGCCAGCTGAGAGGGATCGATCGCCAACACCTCCTGTGGGAATGTCTCACTTGAAGCTACGGAAATGCTACGTGACCTGTATCTTTGATCAGCAATATTACAACTTTCTTGTCGGTTACCACTCGAACAACTTACCATGTTTGTATGACAACGGCACAGGCCAAGAGACCGTGAAGAATTAATATGTAACATTATAAAAAAACCTACCATGTTTTTAATGTAACATCAAAGTACAATGAATTCCTAATGTAATAATATTCTGACCTGCCCATCCTCTCTCGTGACGTACATGACGTCACCGTCGCCTTCGACTGCGCCTTCCACGCCCTCGACGGCACCTTCGACTCCCTCTGCTGCCACAAGTAACGTTTGACCTGCTTCATTTTCGCCTGCGACCTGTTGAACGTAACACGTTATAAATTGTTACTTAAAATGTAAGAGAGAACACAAAATGTACACTGACTTCATTTATTATTCAGTAAGTTCTTAATAGTACAGTTAAGTATACCTGATAAAGGACTCCATCTTCTCCTCTGATCATGATAGGCGTGTGTCCCGAGTGTAGTAATCCGACCTCTTCACCGTCGTCAACCCCAACTCCTCCTTCTAATAATTGTTTGACAGCACTGGCTTCCACTTTAACTTCCGTCTGTAATATTGAAATAGTGTTTAATTGCAAGATTTTGTGCAATTTCAAAACTAGATGTTCATGTGTATGTGTGCTTTTCATTTACTTACACCATCTTCATCAGTAAGTACAGGAAGTGAGGGTTGAGCACCATCTCCTTGTACCAGCATTCCAGTTGTACCGCCAGGAGACATTTCGACCTGAAACAAATATGGTTATGTATAAACTGTGACATCAGACTCAGACAAGGTAGAATAAAAATTAGATTGAATAAATTCAGCTATTACTAAGTCAAGTTTTTTTTGCAAAAAATGACAATCTAAGTGGCTAATCCTTACTAATATTATAAATCGGAAAGTGAGTTTGTTTGTTTGTTTGTTCCACCTTCACGCCGTAACTACTAAACCGATTGCTTTGAAATTTAGCAGACGTAAAGTTAGAAGTCTGGATTAAATAATTTTAACTTTTATCCCGGAAAAATTTTGATATTCCCGAGGGAAAAGCGAAGACGCGGGTAAAAGCTAGTAAAGGAATAAATATAAAAATCGGTAAAATACCTTCATAAGCATAGTACCAGCCAGCGCTTCGGGGGCTGGTGGTGGCGTTGGCGGCGGCGATGGTGTCGGCGGCGGCGTGGGCTCTCCCTCCGCGCGCGCCAGTCGCCGCCCCGTCAGTGGACACAGCGTCAGCTCGCGCTCCGGGCTCGGAGGCGGCAGCGGACCCAACTGACGCGGGAACGGATCCTCGATGCCATCAGACGTGTCAGATGACGCATCCGACTACAATCATTCCACAATTTATTTTGCCTTTCATATACAATAAACACTATTAAAATCACAAACAACACACTATAATGTCGGCACTTCTAAAATCGAATTTATTAAGAACTAGAATGATAGCGATTCCACTGTAAAGCTGAAAATGCGAACACAATATGCATCATAATAAAAACATCTACTATTATTTGAATGAAATAGATCTAAGACTCACACACGACAGATGTATTCAGGTTCATTTCAAAACGTTGATGTCGTCCACAGCAAAACGAAAAGAAATAATGTACTAAAATAAATTATGCTAACCTGCTCGAACTCTAACAGAGGAACTTTGTCACGGATCCGTACAATGTTCCCGCCAGCCGTAGTAGCCACGGAATAACCTCCGCGGCCGCGCCCCCGACCTGACCCGCCGCGCCGCAGTAAACTGTCGCCCTGTGCAGTCAATCTCTTTGTTACTCAATCGTTATATATTGGTGTAACTTATTGTTAGTATGAAGCTAGTTAATTTCCTAGCATGATTTTGTTAATCACTTCTATTCCTTAGTTGACTGGATAAGGCAACATTATAGGGCATTGAGGAGAGTAATGGTTATACATACATACAAATATAAAAATTTTAATACAATTACTACATACATACTTTGAACTATTATAATTTCTACAATTTCTAAACATTCCACTTACTACGATGTCGACAAATACGATTAACTTACCTGTGCAAGTTTCTTGTTGAGTATGGTGACAGGTGACTTTCCTTCAGCACCTTGACCTGCTGGTCTTTGAATAGTGCGCTGAATAATCTTTTGTCCTGAGGGAGTAATTATAGTCTTCTCTGTCACTTGCTGTCCTCCAGAACCATAAGTTTTCTTTATCTGTAGTAACATTAGATTTTCAGTTAAATTGTTTGATTTCATACATTACCTAACAAATATTGTACTACACAAGTACTTTTCAAAGATCAATAATGAATTTCATCAATAAATTATGATAATAAATATTACCTGTGATGTCACTGGTGTGCGGATAGGGGATGTTTTCTTGGCTTCTTCTAATTTTTTCTGAAAGTAAGAATTTGTTTCAAGCATATTGTCTAGCATAAACACATGTAAATAACATCATGCACACGAAAACAAGTAATACCTGTTTAGCTGCTAATATCTGTTTCCGAATCACATCCTGATCTATATTTAGACCCGGTCCTAATTTCCCAGGCGAATCAATCTTCATAATTCCTGAACTCTTCGACATTATATACACACCTGGTAAAAAGAGTTACTATAGTTATACAAACAGTAATGTTAGAAGCAAAGCCAGCACATACATCGCTGTTACAAACAAAGTGATATCAAAAATCGCATTCCAAACTATTAAATACCTGTGGTAAGATTAGGCATATGCTTAGGGTCAACCTTAATGACGCCCTTTATGTTCGGCATGCCTTTTCCCGCGAGACCAAGTGATTTCACCAGCTCAGGGTCCAGAGTGGACTTTGTTGGCGAAGATTGACCATTCAGCAATTTCTTGTCAGCTGAAATGTTTACTATGTTAAATACTTATCAGTACTGGGCCTTGCTATTTGAATGAAATAAGTGTACAAAGAGATGACACATGCATAAAACGTTATTAAACAATGAGTGTGCTAGCTGAAATTGTATAATTCTTTATACCTTTAGTTGAGTCAGGGTCAGAGTAGTCCTCATCTTCACTGGATAATTCCTTCTTCACTTTCTTGGCAGCTGGTTCACCATCCTCAGCACCACACCATGCCTTAACTTGATCTAAAGCACGAACTTTGCTAGTACGCTGAAGACGTCTGCAAAATAAAAAAAGTATTATTGTTATAACAGATGAAAATATATAGCCATATAAGAAAAAATAAAAAAATCACAGCAATGTTAATATTATGTTAGACGTAAATAAATGATATGGTACATACCCAGATGGTGTAACTGCAGGACTCTCAGATTTCTTTACGACTTGTTTGACAACTTGAGGTAAGGGTGTACTAATTTGTTTCACCTAATAACAAAATTGAGCATAAGACTTAAGTCTAGAATAAAATGACCAAAAATATTTACATTAAATTATTTCACAACTTTGCCAAATTGATTTAAGTATTAATTTAAAACATTTAGGAACCCAATACTGACCTGCACTGGATGCTGTTGCTGCTGCTGTTGTTGAGCTCTGAGAGCCTTGAGCTCCTTCTGACGTGCCAGCTGCTTCTCAAATGCTTCCAATAAATGTTTACAAGTCTCCATATTTTCCACAGGTTCCCAAGTATTTTGCTCACTGAAAAATTGGACATTTATAATTATTCTTGCTTATACTTATGTAAATGGGTACAATATGATATAAGTAGTTGATGTAGTGCTTACTGTGGATATCCCTCCCACTTGAGCAGGTACTCATACTGCTTCCGACGTGGATTAAATCGCTTGGCCAAGATCTTCTCCACAACATATTCTCCAGCCTCAGTAGGATCGCCCTGGCGCTCAGTACGACGCGCAATCCTTTCCTCAGGCGGAACTCGCTCTTGAGCATTACGCACAGACTCATTCAACTCCTAAAAAAAAAACAATTCGATAAGTACAGATTTAAGTTCAAGTAATACTGTAAAACACCACCCCCACGAAAACAAGAAAGCAGTGAATAATCAATGTGTGAATATAATTATGATTCATTGGAGATTCTGAGATAAATGTTAATAATATAATGTATCTTTATCATACACAAAATTTGTTATGATCTTGGTCTCTATTATATTTAGATTAACATAGTAAAAAACAATTACTAGTTGTATCCTATAAAACTTGTATTGTCATAAAAATCAATTAAGTACCTTAGTTTTGTTAAGATTTTGTGGTATTGGTACTTTTTGGACATTCTTCAGTCCAGGGCTAGCTTTAACAATATCGTCACTTTCTTCCCCTGAGGGTTGTGTTTCAGAGTCCTCCTGCAAGATTGTGTTAGTAATGAGTGTTAGAGGTAGCAACATGGTTCAAAGACAGATAGACTGCAATATAAGCATACCGGCTTGGGTGTCTTCCTCGGTCTGCCTCGTCTCTTAACTTCATGCTGTACTGGTGTTTGAACAGGAACTAATTGATCTTCAGTCTTAACTTCCATCTGTATTCAAATGTTAAAATAATTAACAAAAACATTTTCAAAAAGGAATCTAAAAATGTATAAAGTAGTAACAACTTACAACTTTAGCATGTGCAAATTTAGACAGGGCCTGAACATTAGATCCAGCTGTAATCCAAGCAGTCCGTTGAGCCTCTGCCATGCGACACCACTGCTGGTATAACTTCCAGCTGTTGTCTGTATTCACTGTGGAGCCATCGCGGACAGATGAGCACTTCCATAGAAGGAAAGCCCACACTTGCGCTTTGCTTTCATTCTAAATGTAAAAAAAATAATAAAAATTACTGTTTTAAAATCTGAAATAGTACATAATTATGTATTATTTTCATACATATAGCATACTCACACTATCCCTAACAGGAGATTTTCCTGTACAATTGTTGGCATCCTTGTGTTCTTTAAAATCCTCAACGAAATGGAATGCTGAGTGGCACTGGCCACACACCAAAACATCTAGAGTTGCCATTTGTTCATGAGCCTCTGAAAGAGAAATTAAAATAGGTATGTTTTGTTTAAACAGTTGGATAAATGTTCTGTATTAAATTCTGTAGTAATAGATATGAGACAAAATTCTTTTTAAACAAACTGTTTTGATAAATATAGCTATTAAGTTACATTTCTTAACTATTTGAATAATAAATGAACTGGTCCCCAATAATAAATGAATAATAAATGGAATATAATAATAAATATATTACCATTATAATTAAACATAAATTACCTAAAATACCTAATTGATAACCAACTCAAATTCAAGTTCAATATGAAAGTAATAATAACATAAAATATGTATTGTTTGCCTTTCAAGAACACAATAAAACATAATTGGGACAAATTATTAGTTCTTGACATGATCATGGTATTATAAAGTTAAGTAACCATGCATGCATTTTAATAAATAGTAGTAAATTATAATTTTAGTAAACCATAGTTGAATAGTTGTTTACCTTTCAAAGCTGTCGGATTTTTAGTTAGCTCGTCTGGATTTCCCGCCGGCACCTCCTCCGGGGGCGTCTCGCCTTCTTCTACAGAGGTCATTGTCGAGTATTTAGACGACGCTACAAAAAAGAAACACTATAAAGTCTTTATATTTAACTATTATAGTCATCGAATCTGATGCTCAGTGCAATACATAACAGATAACCTTAATTTACACCGGCAAATTCCCGCCAACTCGTGTCATATAAATAATAAAATATCGACAAAATTTACAGCAATAAGAAATCATTTATAGTAAAACACAATTGTTACACCATCTATTTCACGAACTACACAAATATTTAATCATTATTATCACAAAAATAATGTATTTGAACTCCCGTGACACAAATCAACGCTCATTGCACTATACTGCCATCGTTGCGATAAAATTAGACGCTTCTTTGATAATCACTTGATAAATATGCTAATATTTAGGAGATTTTCTTATTCAATTCACGTGTATATTAAATAAATTACACCATCAAGACAATGTCACTTACCAAAACAATATTTTTTTCTAAAATAATGAAACTTTTCAGAGAATGCAACGCAAAACGGAACAAATCACATCAACAATCGAATGTTTAATGAGGATAAAAAACGTTTTGCCGACACGCTCAAGCTGCCACCTAGCGATCGCCGACAAATGTTGTTCTCTTTTAGACTTCCACATGTAACAGCCAATGGAAACGCGGCAATTAAGTATTCTAGCCAATCAGCATTTATTACTGCTCTGCGCATACTATAACATACTTGCTGTTTCGTAATAGCCACTCGGTTTGACCGACATGTGGTATTTAACCACCACGTTTCGCCGACAACCCTTATTGCTATATTGTAATTCTGTAAATTGCTCAGTATGTAGTTGAATATTATTGTTTATTTGTAAATTATACAATAAACAACTTATTTGGTCATATGGTGTGATGAATTAACAGTCCAATTAATATGTTGTTCCCTAATTTCATTGCATTATTTAGTATTTCATAACGATGAATGCCACTTTTTAGAAGTAATGACTAGATAAATGAAGTGATTCTAGACATCCAACATGATAGATACCATCTCATAGAAATCATGTAGCATGGTAATTAATTCTTTTACTTCGAAGTAGGTTATATTTTGGTTAAAAATATGTATGAATAATGAAAAATATTATTACCTACCTAACAAAATCCAACCAGTTCCTAGTAAATAACATATTACAAAAGAAGATTGAATAGGTATTTACTTCGATAAACCAACCAACATGTAAATCAACGGACTAAAATTAAATCTAGCTAGTACAGACCTAAGTAAGAAGTACGTGTTAAAGCTGCGCTCCGCTCCGTTCGTTACCTTACTTTTGGAAGAGAAGTACCTAGCTGGTAAGATTCGTAAAAAAAAGTAAAGCCGATCTTGCGAGAAATACCTAGCTGTACCTAGCTGTGATTTTTAGCCATGTAGGTGCTTATTTAACCAGATCAGCCAGTAATCTTCTCAATTCACTTCTTAATAATTACGATTGATATCAAAGCGATCGATACAATCTTCTTTGTCCTTGCTTTTCCCAACTACCTAATTTAAGGTTGGTAGCTGCTCAGTATTAAACAGATTCGGCTGTTCATTACCTACCATCTGCCCTCTACAAAAAGAGAAAAGTAGCATATTGTGACATAGTCCGTCTGTTGTCAGATTAAGACTTCTCGACTATCTCATCTCATCATCATCATCATCATCATCGACTCACAACGGGGACTGACCAGTTAAGTACCATTGAATGAATAGGTAATGTCCATGAATAGGCAATACCCATTAGCACTTTTTGCCTAATGCGTGATTGGAACCTACGACACCATGCTCGGCAACCGGTCGTTCAGCTAAGCCATCGTAGTAAACTGAAAACAGTAATTTAGGTAGCTGCTGTTGTATTTATTTATAGTGATGATTTAATGACGACATATAAGTAGGTACCACTGTGTCAAGAATGAAACGATTGAGAAGAAATAGCTTTCTTATGACCGGCAAGAGAAATACCTACCCAGTACCTAATCCATGAACTACTTACTAGATTTTAGTAAAACTATATTCTGATACTTTCTAGTAATTTCAGAAAAGTTCTAATAAAAAAAACCCGGTTTATAATATAAATTGTTAAACAAAATTAATGTTAGAATTTATTCCAATTCACCTGCTGAAGTTAGGTATATGTGACGCAAGACGCAACTACCTATGTCCGATGTCGCATCGAGTCACACGTAGTGAATAAGGCAGGTACCTATAAAATATGTGTAGGTAAAAAATTAAAGTGCTTAAGAGAATAGACAATTGCATTACGAATCATTTCCGCCCCCATGTCGCTCTATTGGGTAGGTAGGTACCTGCATTCCAAAATTTTTCTTTGCAATGTTTCATCATCAGCTATAATCTCTTAAAAACGTTGTATGTTCTTTATGAAAACTTTATTTAACGAACGTGGTACCGAGCATCGTTGTATAAGTATGCAAATTTACATAATAAAACCAATTGATTAAAAAATCTAGAAATGTAGAGTCATTATAAGAATACGGACTTTGAATTACATTTATAAGTATGTGTCTACTGTTTGTCCCATAGTAATAGGTAGGTTCTAACAATACCGGTAGCTAGACGCTATTCAATTTGCCAGTGATTAATTTACCTATTGTATGTATGAATAGGTACAATCGGGTACACAGATAAATAATAAAATTATCATGACATATTCGAAGTAAAGTCTAAAAATATACTTTCACAATAACAATAATTTCGAAAATATCATCCTATTAGGTTCTACACACGTTCTACAGTCAGCCACTATAGCGTGAACCTACTTTCAGACATATTTTTTTATTAATTTTATGACATTAAACAATCGCCATCGTTGTGGAAATGTGGTAGTACCGTGTAGCTGAACGTTAGCGTTGCATTTATTGCATAATGATGAGCAATTAATTCTAGAACGAAAAAGAACGTCTGTCGGTTTCGATTTTATGAAAAAAATATATGCTATTTACAAAAAAAAAAAATACAACGTCTATTGTTTATATACTTCATAATATGCGTGTACATTTTTCAATATAAAGTATCAAAAAGTCCACAACCCTCAAGCAAGCAAGTATCAAAATGAGTTCAGTCGGAGTAGTTTTAGAGTAAGCCTTTGTTTATATTTGTTTTTAGTCGACTAATTTAGTTTGTCGGGTTGTCGGGTTGCATCTGTTTACCCCACAGACCTACTATAATATGGACCAGAAATACCTACAAAATACGCGTGCATACCTACTAGAAACCGAGGCCTAAAAATGGCTGCCATTGCTAGGGAAGTACTGTCAAAACCAAAAAGTATCGATATCGATAGCAGAGTTTTATACATTAAAAATCTTCTGGTACTTTGGATTTTTTTTTAAAGGTACAAATCATCGAATGATTTCAAGCCACTTCTGACGCAGCACTTCATTTTTAGGGAATTTGTGGAAATAAAAAAAAAACATAAAAATTATTTCAGTTTTGTACATTTAGTGGTACAAATCATAGACTGAACTAAATGAAAGTACTTACTGTATGAAGAATTGATATTATTATGTTATGGTACTATCTCTATTTTTATTTCTATTCTGTAAGATTTATTTTCAAAATGGTCTCTTCAGACCCTTTATTTTGATTATTTTTGATACTCTACTCTACTGGACTCCATAACATACAAACTAAAAATATGTTAGTTTCTTATCGATATGTTATTAAATAAAATACATCACTATTTGTAAATCGTCATTTGTATTGTAAACAAAACTTAAACAAATTTAGCAAATGAAGTTAGTTATCATAAACAAATTTAATGTACATTTGGGGGCTTTTATTCTATATATAAAACAAGGCTAGATAAACAAGAAAACTAATAGTATGATAAAGTTTTTTCTTAAAATACGGCTACTAACCTGTGCATAGTCAAATGAGGTTGATTGGGGTTTTTCCTTGCCCCATACTGAATTATTGAACAAGTAGACATATTAAATATGCACCACTAGACACTCATAGCACAAAACAAATAAGTTGGGAGCGTTTTTATTGTTTAAAATCGCAATCCAAATCTAATGTTGTTGTTCGCTTGACACCTGATGTACTACAAAACTATGCGGCCTAAAGATGGCGGCTGGCACGCGAGGTAGGTACCTTGTCAGAAATGTAGAAATGTTGCCAGACAGAGAATAAACAAACAACATGACGTCTCTTTCTTCAAATGAGGAAACTCATTGATTAAAAAGAGACAAAGTGTGGTTTCATATTTCTATATCGATTTGATATATATTTGTATAAGCAAATAATCTATAGATCATTACTTCTGGTCCATATTATAGTAGGTCTGTGGTTTACCCATGTTTTATGACAACTGTTTGAATTGTGTGATATTTCTTTATTTCTATAATCAAGTAAATCCTAATAAAATCCACATTTATAAAAAAATATATATATTATTTTTATTTCAAATGAATAATGAAATTACTTTAGTCGATTATCAATAGAATCACCTATAAATCACGTCTTTGTAACCTCTAAAATTTAGTTATTTTTCATCTGTGAGCTATTTCACTTCGTTCGTAGGACGCTTCGCGCCGTCTAATTTATTTTTTCGTATTATTTCTTTGTATTTTTCACTGAGAGACGAAGATATATAGTGACTGTGTTATAAGAACTCAAGACTATCACTTTCGCATAAAATTCGTGATATAATTATTGGCAATGTCAGGAATAGCGAGTGCACGTTTAGCTGAAGAAAGAAAGGCCTGGCGCAAGGACCATCCCTTTGTAAGCGACATGATTTTTGCAATGGATTGTCTTTCAGTTGTTTGTTTAGTGAAAAGTGCGTGATCAAGTGTCTTGTGTGTTTCAGGGTTTTGTGGCCAGGCCTATGAAAAATCCTGATGGATCTTTAAATCTCATGACATGGGAATGTGCGATTCCTGGTAAAAAGGGGGTTAGTATTTCTAGAAGTTTTCGAATCTTTTAAGTTAACATATCGCTTCTTATTGCTAGTCTACTACTTAATTTAATATAACTTTATAAACGCGTTACTTTTGATCAGATGACCTAACAAAATGTATGTAACAAGTAGTAATAATTCTAAAGGATAACTTTTCATTTTACAGACGTCGTGGGAAGGAGGTCTTTATAAGCTACGTATGATCTTTAAAGATGATTACCCATCAAGTCCACCTAAATGCAAATTTGAACCTCCACTGTTCCATCCTAATGTTTACCCATCAGGAACAGTTTGCCTGTCACTATTAGATGAAGAAAAAGATTGGCGCCCTGCAATCACAATTAAACAAATCCTCCTTGGTATTCAAGATCTACTTAATGAGCCTAATGTTAAAGACCCTGCACAGGCTGAAGCTTACACAATCTACTGGTTAGTACAAGACTTTAAATATATTGTTTATATTATGTACCAACTATACACTAATATTATCATAATAAATGAACTGGTAATCAAAGCTCTTGTTTTTCTTTCCAGTCAAAATCGATTAGAATATGACAAAAGGGTTCGAGCACAAGCACGCGCCATGGCAGCAACTGAGTGATGCGGAGTAACATCAATACACTCAAGTGGACTACTTGCCATCAATTAGCCGTGTTGCAGAAAGCTATTCATAACTAAAATAAGCATTTTTTTTTTACAAAATAGTAAGTGGTACAGGAGTGTAATAAAATATATCATGGCGATTGAATTGGATCATCTTACTATTAAGGAATGTGAATTAGCTCTCTGTAACAAAGCTGTGCAAGGTAGTTCATGTCAGTGTTATTGTTGAAATGTTCAATGACTTCAAGTATTATGAATTATCTATGAATAATTCAACAGTACATCTGATTTTATTAATATAGAGATTCCAATAAACATACAAGCCATTTCTTCTACTTGCTGTTCACATTATAGAAGTAATGGTTACTCTTAAGGTTCATTTTATTTATTTGTAAAGTTGAATTGAATAAACACTGAATAATGAGTAGTAAGGCTTAATATCATGTGAGTGTCAGACATCTTGATTGAAAATCTCATATCTTGATTTGCACATAGAACTAATTGTGAGGATCTACATGGTTATTTTAAACTATTTTTGTATTTTTATGTTAGTAACATTAATAAATTTCTCAAAAGTATAACATGTCATTATGAGATTTGTTTGTTGTATCTATCATATCAGATCACATTCCTAATATAAGTTTTGAACAATCTGTTCTTGAAATATTTTTTCCTAATAAGATCCTATAATCCTTATACAAAAAGTAATACAAATGCAGTTTCCAACATAACAGCTAAGTAGGTAGCTATTTTATAGTGTATCATCTGTGGTAGGTACTGGTAAAATTGTGGGCAATGTTAAAAGATTAGGATGTTCTGAGTGCCAAGCACGAATAACTATCGCATTCGTAACGAAATAGTATTGAGCGCGTTCGGCGTTCTGATTGGCCGGCTCAAGTGAACCAACCAATCAGAACGCTTAACTCGCTCGATACTGTTACGATACGAATGCGATAGTTATTCGTGCTTGGCCCTCAGTTATATTCATCATTAACTTATCTTATGTCTAAATGTGGATCCATGCGAGACAATGTATTTTCTATTGTGTCTTGCATTAGTGCATTCAAGCGGTTAATAGTATGTAGTGTTATCACATCACATATATTAGTGTAACACCTGCAGTGCAAGTTGAAACATGTCCTTCCTGCTATCACCAGCCATTACATCAAGCACACCAATACCTTTTGGGTGAGAGTAATCCATATCCACAGATCTTGACATCAAATAAATGATTTGGCACATCACTAATACCAGTCCATAACAAAAATCGGGGAAGATACACCAAATTAACTACAGCTACATTGGTAAAAAAACATTAGGAAGGAATTGAGGCCTTTGTCTTAAATGACTAGTCTGCTGCAATTTACCCTGTTTGCAAGTGTTCTGTACGAGATCATTGCAAGTGTGCAGCTTTGCTTAGTAGTAGAACAGTTGACTGGGTGGTCTGCTATAAATATATCCTGCGAATATTAAGTACAAGTGCGAAAGTTTGTATGTTTGTTTGTTAGTTCTTCATGTCAAAACGGCTTAAGGGATTGGGATGAAATTTGGCACAGGGGTAGGTTATGGTGTGGAATAACACCTAGGCTACTTTTTCTTCCACGGGAATGTGGGCGATACCGCTGGCAGAAGCTAGTACCTAGTAGGTGTAAAACAGAAGCGAAAGTGCTCGCGTGCGCCTTCAATTTGCGCACTGACATGTTTCTCCGGGGTGAAAATCCGCTGCCACACCAGATTAGTGCGTGGCGGGATCTCATGCGGAATGTCAGTAACGACTGTCGCAACCGAGGGCTGGCCTTGCTGTCATTGCAGCGGTAAGTCTCCTCTTTGAGGAGTGGCTTGAGAGATGCTACGGCGTCCTCAACGACCGCCTGACGCATGTACTTACCGTATATGGGAGTTTCGGGAGGCACCTGTACATAATAGGACGGGAGGAAAAACCCGGGTGTCATCACTGTAATTACCGCCCGGAGGACACGGTGGAGCATACGGTGGCGGTGTGCCCTGCGTGAGCTGAGCACCTCCGTGTCCTCAGGAATGTGGTCGGCGACGGCCGACAGCGTAAATGCGGGTCTGCGGACGGCGAGCACGGTTGATTTGCCGCCCGACCAGAACCAGATCCAAGCGTACAGCGCGTCGCGTTCCGCGCCCGCCTCAAAGTACCATCAGACCACCACAGCCCATCTGTGCATCAGCCCGGAAGCTGCATCAGATGCGGAAGTCCTAACGGGTTGCTGTGGCTCCAGCTCGAAGAGCAGGAGTCGTGATTAAATCTTCGGTTCAAATGGTTAGTATCCAGTTCATAGACAACCTAAAAAAGCTTTTACCGTCTATTGCTATCAGTCATCATCAGTCACACTGTCACGAATGTCACTATCACTATCTAACGTCAAATATTGTATACTTGTGTCTGTATCATCGTTTTATTTTGAATTGTTAATTGTTTAGAGTTTTGATTAAATATCACTGAAAAGCTTGTAATTTCTTCTAAACTTTTAAATTTACCACCGTATTTGGTTTCACACTACACATAATGGCTGACGACGAGCAAGATACCAAAGAGTACCGGTGGGAGACAGGTTATGAGAAGACTTGGTAAGTTCCTATTTGTTTATTAAGATTATTTTTGTTGCAAATTCAATCGGATTCGTTCCTAATGTCTATTTATTGTTTAGGGAGGCTATTAAAGAAGATGAGGATGGTTTGGTGGAAGGATTGGTGGCGGAGTTTGCACAGAAAGCGGCTCGTAAGGCTGTTGTACCTCGTCGTGGTCCCGTCAGGCTGGGAATGATGAGACATGTTCTAGTGGCTGTGGATTGTTCAGAAGCCATGAACTCACAGGATCTGAAACCATCTAGATTTCTTTGCACATTAAAAGTAAGTAACTTTACTGTATTGTTCATTCTTGTTATATATTGAATCATCTGAGTGTAAATGTTTGTATTGAAAAGAATATTACACCTCTTTGTTGAAGTAAACATCATATTCATAATGATTTGAGTCATATTAGTTTGTAAACAAAATCAATATGGTTGAATAACATTATTTACTTCATATTATAAGTTTGTTAATAATTTTATTTCAGTTACTGGAAAAGTTTATAGAGGAGTACTTTGACCAGAATCCATTAAGTCAACTTGGTTTAGTTTTAATGAAAAATAAAAGGGCGGAGAAACTTACAGAGCTGTCTGGTAATGTTAGGAAACATTTGAAAGCTTTACAAGGGTAAGTATTATTTATTACTTACAAGCTTTTATTTCATCATCATCATCATCATCATCAGCCATAAGCAAGATATCATCAACTTATTTATTTTGCTTATAATCTATCTTTTATAGGTTAACAGAAATGTCTCTTAATGGTGAGCCATCACTACAGAATACTTTGGAGTTTGCTGGTCGAGTCCTGAAACCCTTACCTGCACATGCATCAAGAGAATTACTGGTGCTGTTTGCATCACTCACCACTTGTGATCCAGGAGATATAAATATCACTATACAGGTGAATTGAAACATAACAGTAATTAGAATGGCTTATAGTATACTAGCTTTAAAATACTAGATATAAAATAGCCTATGTGACATATACCAATACACACAGCACCATCTATACTAATAATTTCGTTTTCCCTTGAGAATATAATTTTTTTCCAGGATACAAAGTACCCTATTAAGTATTTAATCCAGACTTCTAACTTCACGTCTACAAAAATTCAAAGCAATCGGTTTAGTAGTTACAGCGTGAAAGTGGAACAAACAAACAAACTCACTTTCCGATTTATAATATAAGTAAGGGTTAATTCTGATAATATATAATCTCATTAATCCGGCACTATTAAATACCAGAGGGAGGGACTATTGAAATGTTGGATTACTGGAAAGTCATAGGTAATAAATAAAATAAAGCATTTCATAGAGAAAATACTATGTATAATGTATTAAATTACATAAATATATCAATCAACAGTCTATAAATGTTCACTGCTGAGCAAAGCCTCTTCTCACACGGAGAAGGTTGGAGCATTAATTCCCACATTTGCTCAATGTGGGTTGGTGATTTCAAAATTATAATTAGAAATTATAAGCCCAAGTTTCCTCACGATGTTTCCCTTCACCATTTGTCAGTGATGTCTAGATAATCTTACAAAGTACATATGTATAACTCGGAAAAAGTCACATTGGTACTTGCCGTTGGTAGGTTTAGATGCTTTTTGCTTCTAATTTGAAGGCTGGAGATATAGACTGCTTTTGCACTTTGAAATTGCAAATATAAGTTAGTAAGTACAATACAAATTATGTTATTATAACATAAATTATTTCTTCTCCTTTGTAGGCTCTGAAAACTGAAGGAATAAGATGTTCAGTGATTGGTCTAGCAGCAGAAGTGAGAATATGTAAGAAGTTGTGTCAAGATACGGGCGGGGAATATGGGGTAAGTGTTTCATTAACATATATTTGTTAGTTCCCTTTTTATAGTAATGTAATAATATTTTAAACTGTCATACACCGCGAGGACAAAGGTGACTGCAACCTATTGTTCTTTAATTGTGTCTATAATGACGGTACTCAAAGGGTTAAGCTAGACAAGAAACAGTTTACTGAGTAAAGTGTTGTTAACATAAAACATGAAATTAACATTATGTATTTTATCCATTTATTATTTATTAAGTCTGTGATAATAATTTTACACAGGCTTCAGACAGGCACGGCCAGTTGTGAATGCCAATTTGAGGAAATCGAAAAAAGCTATACTATTCTTGTTATTCGATCTGAGTTCGTTTTACGTTTAAAGTAATCGAAACGAGTACGCGTTCGGGTCTCTGATTGGCTGGTTGGTTGGAACCAGCCAATCAGAGGTCCGAACGCGGTGTTGTTACCATTCGTACTAAGGCCTTAGGGCATCATACCCGAGACTTCGTATTTGGCAATCAGACATTTTATTTGACGGTTAATTGACTCTTGTTCTTTATTTAGGTGGTGTTAGATGATGTACACTATCGTTCCCTGTTACTGGACTCCACGAGTCCACCACCCCGAGCGCGGGCGTTGGATGCGGGTCTAGTTAAGATGGGCTTCCCACATTCTGCTCCACAAACCAATCAAACTGACCCCGGGACGAATGCTGATCCACCTATTACTGTTTGTATGTGGTAAGTGCGGTAAACAATAATTTTGTATTTGTTAAGTTTCTTACGAAGCTGTACGCCAATTTTCATGTCACTCCTGGAAATTTAGTCCTGAGTTACTGAGCAGGGCGCTAGTATAAAATAAATAATTTATTAACGAAGACAGAACAATCAATACTCGTTCTAAGTTTGATTTCGTAGAAAAATTAAACATTTTCGTGTCTCATATTTTTATTTATCTATCAAGCGAACATTAAAAATATGGTATCATTTCCATTCTTAATTTTCCTTACTTTTGTAGTCATCTAGACGATGGTGAAGGTGTAGGCGGTGAAGGGCACCTATGTCCGCAATGTCGCAGCAAGTATTGTTCGCTGCCCGCCCAGTGCCGGACCTGTGGACTTACCTTAGCGTCGGCGCCTCATCTAGCCAGGTACAATATCCATATAAATATAGAACATTTAAAACACTGCCACAATGAAAATTATTGTACTTTGTTACAAGTTACATCTTGTTTTTAGAGTGTTTAATATGATCAAAATAATAGTACCTTTTAATTAGGTACCTCTTGAAAGTTCAAGATGTATTTAAAGACAATTTTTATAATGTTTTGTTACTTTCTAGATCATATCACCATTTATTCCCTGTGGAGCCGTATGAAGAAGTAGCATATGAGGGACAAGCGCAATATTGCTTTGCCTGCCTTAGGAACTTTACAGATCTCGATAAACAGGTAAGCTTAGTTCTACATGACTATAGTCTGACATTTGGGATCTTATAAAGTCCATGCTAAGTCACAGCATTTAATTTAAACTGTCAAACACCAAGTGGTCACCGGTGACCGCAACCTATTGTTCTTTAATTGTGTCTATAAATACGGTACTCGACGAGTTAAGTAATCCTTAAATAGTCACTTTTGAAATGTTAAATTTTAATTGTCTGTCAGTCTCTGTCAATTAAATTAGGTGCTAGTTCCAAAGCGTAGGTTCGCATGGAGAAATATATATTGAAGAATTAAACATATTAAAGGAATTAGGTTATACTAGGATAGAACATAAAATAGGATAGTTATTATTAGCTGGCTTGCCACTATGGTTAATATTTTTCTCTTATCGTGTCCTAGGTGTATAGATGTGGGCGGTGTCATGAGTTCTACTGCTGGGAGTGTGAGAGTGTGGTCTCCACGACGATACACGTATGTCCTGGCTGCGCGTCACGACCCCATCTCTACCAACGACTGCCTGACACTTCATGACCGCACCCTACAAGTATCTAAAATCAATAATTAGGTTTTGCTCCCATATTTTTTTATCGAGGTAACCCGACTGGTTTCAAGCCACGCTGGGGACTCACAGTCGTGAGCAGCATTGGGTAAACTACAGGATGAGCGTCACGTGGCCAACTAAAAGCATAATTATTTAAATAATATGTCTCACAAGACTTACAAAATATATAAAACTTGTTAAAATAACCATTTGTCTCTGGTTGTAAAGTTTCCAACATGTATCGGGTTCACTGTGATGAATTAAAAATAATATTTATAATGTTATAATCTTGTTTTTTTTTTCTATAGTTCTATAATTCTATGTTATACAATTAACTATGTTTCTAAATTGTTTTTTTCACTGATGGAAACAACATAATATAATTATTATGTAGAGCTTTCCTAGTATATTCACGTGAGTAACCCGCGATTTTTAGTTCATTATTTAATTAGTTAATTAAGGAAGAAAAGAAAACGATACAATAATTTTAATTGGTTTATTTATATCACAATTTGGAATTTTCCGTGGCAATACAAAAATAACTGCTCTTAAAGTAATAACTTACAATTTTCACAGGTATTTTGGAGACAAAATAGTTCGTTTGAGTAACATACTAAATGCAAGTAGCAATAGTTCATCTCCTTAGTTACTTTCACGTTACCTACTATTTTATATTTCGCTTATATTTTACAGGATTACTTATACAGCAGTGTTTAATAACATACATATTGCCACATAATACATTTACTCATTTAAATACATATTATTGGTACAAGCATCGCTCTCATAAAAAGCGATTTTAGGTCAATTTTGTAACAATCCTTATACAAGGAAAAGTATTTAAAATGTTCAATATACCTAGTTTATGGTGTTAATTATTGTACGTTACGATACATATTAAATACCTTGTTTATACATTGATAAGTACATAAATATTTTATTTCTATCCCTAAATAAACTTCTGCGAGTACATCTCTTAAGCGGTCATTTATATAAATCACAGATAAAAATCTCATTGTAATAGTACAATGGTATTTAATACCAACCGCGGTTATTTTTGGTTTTAGTTTATCATTTTTATATTTATAAAAAATATTATATAAAAGGCAATCGTTTTGTATTTACGGAATAACCGTGTTAGTGAGAGTTTCTTAGCTCTACTCCTTTTTGTTATTGTTTTTTTTATTGAGATAATTTACATATTAGGTACGCGCCTTTTAGGCACCTGTCAACTTACTATATTAGTAAATACACATTAAAATATCACTTTACAGTAGCGTTACTTGTAACAGTGGTATAAAACAGCATTTCTTCATGTACATGATAAATTATAAAATATAGTTATATTTTTCACATTTAATAAATCTTTGCTTATAGCGAATTACATTTTGCGCCTTGTAAAGCAGTTGGGTACATTTAAATACATAATTATTAAAGTAAGGCCTGTGTTTATTACTTTCATGAGTGCTAAAGAAATTAGTCTTTTATCACAGATTACGAACAGCTCCATCGAGTGCGACAATATGTTGAAATATGAGGTATCTATTGAGATTTTGTCATTTTATCTACAGCACTATTAGATATACCTACATAGTATTGTTGCGTTGCGTGTATATCCAACATTACGTCCTATGTAACTAGTAGTCGACGTCGAACACTTGCTTAAGTACAACATACGATTCCTTCAGACCCTTTGGCTTTCTGTCGTCATTTTCTTGCGAGAGATCCACAATATGTTGGGTTTTTGGTAATACTGTTCTATTTGTAAGAGAGACTTGCCCTTCGTCTCTGGTAGGAGTAGGAATAGAACTATAGTAGCGAGTAGAGAGGATGCTCCGAAGAGTCCAAACACTCCCGCGATTCCTATAGCGTTCTTCATGACTGGGTAGAGTTTGGTGAATCCGAAGAGTACTGAGTTGAAGAGGCAGAAGATGTAGCCGCCGCACAGTCCTCGGACCTTGGTGGGGAGTAGTTCTCCAATCATGAGTCCGGGGAGTAGGAAGAATCCGAGGGTGTTGAAGGCGACGTAGCCGAGGATGAGGACTGGCGGTGTGATCCCTGAGCCGGGGCCTTGGGAGAGCAGGAAGGACAGAGCGAGGGTACACACGGCTGTGCCTATACCCGAGACCAGCACCAGGGCACGACGTGTGATTCGCAGCAGAAGTATGCACGCCACTACGGTGACGCCGAGCCGCACTAAGGCACTCGCGTTAGCTGCCATCTGAGGACAAAAAAATATGCCATTGAATATTTACTCTTATCTCATTAATTTTGTAGTCTCTTTTTACTTATGTTACTTTCCATCCATTATAGAAGTGAATATTTATTGAAATGCAATAGCTTTTATTAAACAAAAAGGAATCCTATATTTATGGTGTTATGATACTTACGGTAGGTTGCAGAGCACCACCGGAGTCCTTTACAATGTCCACGGCGTAGAAGATGACAACGTAGCTTCCAGACAAAATCTGCAGTATGTTGAATGCGTTGATCAAAAGCAGTGGTTTCAGTACTGGTGCCCTAGTGACAGTTTCTAGGAACTTTATCTTTTCTTCACCGCGCGCCTTTTCTTTCTCCCGAGCTGAGATCAGTTCGTGTAGTTCTCTTTGGGCCTGCAACAAAGATACAATGTTTACGTTAACTTCGTTGGCAAGTAATCTTCAAGTAGAATATGAGGAAAAGTTTCATTGAATTTAATAATAGGTATCATATTCAGTTTCCGGCCACATTGAAACTCGGTACGGAGGTACTTTATGGTGGTGCCAGCCTACAATTAACTTTGTAATGTCGCATAGTATGTTACATAGTTGCATTGCGTGATAATTATTGCTTTATCAGTTGCTAATGACCCACTACCTAATAAAATAAACGGACTTAGATTATATAGACTATGTAGTCTATTTATAGGTTAACGAAGTTCCTAGCCTCCGTAGGTAGGTCCGGTAGGCTTCCGGGTTCTTACTAGGTTTCTATTAATTATGGTTGTAGACGTCCAATGTTCTATGTAGGTACATACCTACTTTATAATAAACACAGTCACATGTTTAATCTATTTCAATCAACTACCTGTTGATTTATTACTCGTACAGTTTCTAATTAGAAACATAATACGTATAATTAACAGCTTTTTACTGGCAATGTTTCCACTGCACGTTTATTGTCTGAATTTGTTTGTGTCGGCACATGTTCGAGAAAATGACATATCAATTGTCGTGGACCTCCTTCCTTGTTGAGCTCATTAAGAGGCCATTTTACAAGCAATCAAATGTGCCGAGGCTTTCGACGGTACAATAAACATAGCATGATATAAACAAACAGCTGGAGTCGCTAATTGAAACAAGTGTGCTTGTTGCTTGTGGAAGGTTCGAGAACCGGGAGTTCTTTAGACGTTCTAACAGGAGCTGAGATTATTCGCTATCGCACTGGACGAGTGCCTTTGTTGTTCATTTTATTGTGACATTTTTGCTACATATGTCATAAATTAACCCCATTGGAAGTTAAAAGAAAAATGTTGGACAGGGTGTGTCAGATCAGGGTGCTTACTCTTGAAACCAATCTCAATGTCAATGCAATTTCAATCCAATAAAATCTAAATAATTATCCAATGTCCAAACTATACAACCCCAATCGTAGCTGTTAAAGTAACATTTAGAATACGGAATATAAGGCCAAACTCAATACCATTTAGTTCATTAAATATCCACGCAATACAAATGCAATGGGCGCTAGTGTTGCAATTTAAGAGTACGAAATTTCACAATACCAAAATACCAATGTCGATCGATCGGAATTGGATTCAAGAGTAAGCCCCCAGATAGTCTGGTCGTTTTGTCTAAGAAGGAATTTCGTAGCCAGTGTATTTTCAACTACCTACTACTTATGAATAGTGTCGATAAGCGTAAGTACTTTACATTTTAAGATGTAGAAATTAATGTAAAAAGATGTAAAAAGTTAAATATACTACTTATAATAATTGTGAAAATTACGAAGGAGTTTTTAAACACAACGTTTAGTTGATTTTAACCATTTGTTGACTTCATCAGATATTTAGAGCTTCATGGTTTGTTTATTAGGCAATTCGACGACCAATCCCATCATTACCAGTGTTTTTTTTTAAACAAATGGCTGAATGCAACCGTTCAGACTGATCAAGCATGAATTTAGGTAATACGCTTGTCTCAAACAATTGTAGATTACCTGAGCCCAATTGTTCTATACAGGATGTTTACATGATTAACTTAGTAAGTCCCGACTTAACTTATTTCGTTTCAATGGGCTGGTGCTGAAAATCAGCGCCGTGGGCTCGAGCCTCTGTGCCCGGTCCACGGTATTAAGCTGAGCTCCAGCCTTTTGCGCTGCGACGCACCATAGGCTTTTTTGTGTTTCTAAATTGTTGTGTCGTAGCAAAATAAATGGTTTTTCCTTCAATATTTGTTTATCTGATGTTACCAAGTACCAAGTTACCAAGTTCCATCTGTACCTAGTTACTTTCAGTTCATTAAAAATATATCAAAACACGTATATATCTCTAGTTATTTCGTAAGTATGTATATGTTATATATAGGTACAGATTCAATTAAGAAGACTGCAACAACAAAATTGAGTTGATCAATTTGTTAGAAGGCGCCTCTGATTGTGTCCTTCTCGTAAGTTGTCGAACTCGTAAAGGGATTGATTAATTTTCGTCTTCTTGTTTCGTTTTATGAAACAACATAATGATGGTAGGATCCCAATTTTTTGTGTAAGGTTTCAATTCCAAGAATAAAGAGGGTAAGTAAACTCAATGTCCATTTAACCTCAACTTCTTTTTGTGTTTATTATAAGTGAAGAATATTGTCTGTGTTTTATTCGCCTCATTACTTTTTTAACGCTTATCAAGCCAAATAATATATGAAATAAATGACTAATGAAAGATGTTATCTATGCAATGAAGATTTTTATAATAGTTAGGTACCTAATTAAATATGTTTTCAGTTCGTGTGCATAAAATAATGTATTGATTTAACATTTACTTAGGTGCCGTGTGTATTGGCAAAACGATAACCTGCTCATAAGTAGCGGTAGGTATAAATGTATATGTATCTACTTAATGACTCTGCGATTTTCAAGAGCATCGAACACTCACATGATACGTAGGTACAGTTGATATACCTACACATTAAAATCAGATTAGCACATTTTTATACCAAATTAACATTGCTAATATATGCTAATATTGTTGATTTTCAATCAATTTGCTGGTTATGACTAGTTTTTAATATTAGGATATTTGCTTGCTTATCCAACACGATATTACTTTAAAAACTACTTTCATTAATCCACTATGTGACGTTACCTTTAATATATCTATGGACGTTACTATATAGATCACCTAGTGATCTATGTAATTGATTAAAGCGATTAATTTCCGAACCTGTCTCTCTGTCGTTTTGGCAATGACCTCGCTTTATTTTTGATAAGTAATTAGATACTTACAGTGTCATGGTCTCCGCGCAGGCGTGCCATGGCGGCCATGGCGTCATGGAATCGTCCTCGGCGGGCAAGCCATGTGGGGCTTTCCGGTGAGAGACACAGTGCGATGAAGGCGAGGGCTGGCAGTACTGTGGACAGATGTGCCACTGATCTCCACGGCAGGGCTCCTCCCAGCGCGTACACGTACAGCACGCCGAGCGAGTACGCCACGAACGGCGTGCCTATTAGCAACCCTCTCAGTCTTGGTTCAGAAATTTCTCCTAAATACACCTGCAAACAATGTTTATCGTTAGTTTTGGTGGTAGCTATGCCATTTAAGACTAAGATTGCAAAATATCGCGGTTGTCATAAATGGAATAATTTGCTTGAGCACCTTAGAAAACGTGGGATTTAATTTTGTATTGCAACATTGACCATTAAAGGATCTTCTATTATCATATTTGGCAGAATTACCTGTGAAGGCGCTGCCATTATGCCGACAGCGAATCCGCATACGATTCTGCCCAACAGGAGCAGAGCATGATGAGAGGCCGTGCCTATAATGATCCAGCCAATGATAAGGGGCAGTGTACACGTCTGTAACGTGCGCTTTCTGCCTATAGCCTCCATGATAGGTCCTGACAACATGGACCCCAGCGGTGTGGCAGCTGAGTGAATACTTGCTGTAACAAAGAACATAAAAAAACTTAAATGCTTGTTTTTGCAGAACTCGATGTATGCGATATGATAATAATGTATGAATTAGTTTTCCGGTCTATGATTAATTAAATTACTTGACTTCCAAATTAATAGTTCTAATACCTTTGTTCATAGACCACAATAAAATAAACAGTACCTACAATATACTTCGACACATTATTCTGTGCCTGCGTTTGCCTGCGTATCTTACTCGTATGTAGTTGAAGGTGAATCTTTAATACCTATTTATCTTCTAACATCTTATTTACGTTTGTCACGAAATCATTTTAAACATGATTATATTATTATGTTGTCCGAATGTACATACTTAACTACTTATTTGCAAATAACATATGTTATTTCTGTTTCTTACGTTGTCTGACATTATTATGGACGGGTATAAGTTTTTGCACATCATATTCATTATAATCAAGTAATGTTTGATCATGTAATTTTACTTTTGACCTTTGATCTATAACTTTGTAGGTACTTATTAGTAAAGCAATTTGGATAAGTGGACTTTGGATATTACCTCTATACGTGGATATACGTAGCGTAATAGCTACAACAAATTATCACCTGATTTTTAAAAGGAGGTCCAAGTGTTGTTATTATGGTCGATGGTCTTGGTCTTATTCATTAGGTAAACTATAATGTGTAACAGTCTACGTCTAGCATAAGGTTGCATAAGTACCAGTTTAACAAGATTTAAAAAGTTGATCCTTTGAGTATGGAGCCAAATTTTAATTGGCTAATTTGTCAATTAGGTGTTTATAACTAATACAAAGAATATTGATTTGCTGGTTGAAGTGATAGTGGTAGAAGATAAAACATTCATTTTGAACTCTGTATTAATTTTGGAATGGAAATACTTACAAACCCGGGACAGTTTTAATATTATCTGCAATGTCTATTCATGTACCTATGATGTTTTTTTTTGACATTGCCATTGTAAAACCACCATTGTGTGAATGTTTAAAATGTTTGGCAAATATTTTCTAAATAGATGTAAAGGACTCAGTCACGCTTAGATTCAAGTGTGGATAATTCTACTTTGTTAGCATTTAGCAATTCATTTCATCAATGGCTGTCTTTACCACGTTTTATGTACCTAGGTACTTCAACTCAAGTCCAAGTACTAGAACCGTTTGTGCAGTTTATCAACAAAAAGTCGGTCATAATGTTTGTTTTGACGTCAGAGGCCTTAGTACGAGTGTGATTTACGTTTAAAGTATTCGAAACGAGTACGCGTTCGGCAATCTGATTGGCCGGCGCCAATGAACCAACCAATCATAGCGCCGAACGCGTACTCGTTACGATTACTTTAAGCGTAAAACAAACTCGTACTAAGGCCTCTGTGGATTGTAAAGGAAAACTAGTCTACCTAATTGCTGGCATACCAAACCTTATCAATTCCAGGTAATTAATAGCAAAAAGGAAAAAGAGCGGAATGAATTGATCGACGTGCTAAATGGACATCTGATAAATATGGCCGACCTTAACAACCATTGTTATTTATAGTGATTGATTACCGTTTTAATTCGAATGTTATCACCAAACTTATCGGAGAAAAAACATAAATGATGGAATGGCTATTGAAATTTTATAGCTTTGTGTAGCAATATTGCCATTCGCAGTGAGGTTAAGGATAGCCTAAATTTTGTTATTCGTTCGTCCATTATTCTTTATATGGCTTGTAATCCTTGATATTAAATGCAAAAATATATTTCTATTTCGTAATAAGTAAAAAACTGGTATGATATGCAAATGTCTGACCTATTTTGGGGTCAGTCTGATTGATTACAATGTTCTTGGTGGTAAAATAATTATAGAGAGTGGTTTAGATTTCGCACATCGATTCTGTAAACATATTGCGATTAGTCCTAACTGGTAATTTATCTCTTGGACACTTAGTAAAAGTATGTTAATAAGGTCGCAGATATCAGCTGATGGCTGCTATCACGCATTGATTATGACTGCGGTCGTCATTATACTTGGTCACATTCTCTGACCTCTATCACGAGAATTGCGTATATTTATGCAGCTAAATTCTGCTGTATTCACACGTGATTAGCAATTTGAAGTAGGCAACAAAGTTATGCGTTACATTTTGTTGCCATTGTTTCTAAGAGACAAAATGACAATAAAGACGATGTGCGTATTAAATAACCAAAATTAAAGATCTAAATGGGTACATAACTTTTCTTTCTACTAGGTTATTAAGGAATTCGCAGTTGTAGCACGGAGTCAGGAATTGTGCCCGGTATATGGCAATAAGCTCACTGCTTTTAACATGGGATTCATAACATGAATAGTGAAAAGTGGGTCTTACATTGTACTAGAGTGGCATAGCGCCGTAATGTGTCCCTCTTCATACTCCTTCGGGGATAAAAGACGTGATGTTGTGTTATATTTTCATAGAGGTATTATGCTTTCTAAATGAGCTTCTTTATCTCTACTCGTTTATTTACACAACATAATAAACGAAACACGTGGGTACTGCCATTATCAACTAGGAAGGTAGTACTTAATTTTCATTAAAGACATGTTTTTTATACACCATTCAAAGACAATTGTTATTAATTAGCGTTAATTGTTAGAAGTCTTCATTAATTTAAATAATAATTAATTGTTATGAATGAAGAGTATGAGCTTGGTATAAATAGGTAAGTACCTAAGTAAGAGATCTTAAATTACACTTTGGCGGTTAGTAGAATTAGAGGGAAGAGAATGACCAAAGAAAAGAAGGATAGATTCTGTGAAGGATGATATGAAAGGAGTTTTCAAAAAACGACACTGACCCTACATAACATGAGATAAGTTCAAGAAGAAGAGGAAGCAGAAGAAGACTTATGGTCGCATTTTAATCAACGTCTCTTAAATTTTAAGGAATCATTAAGCTAGGATAGGTGACATCTAGCGGCAGGGTCGTGAGTGAGAGTTTAATTTTTCTCAATTACATTACTTCACATATGGTTTAGAAGTATTTGATGAAAACAGGTTTTATTAGAATCAGAACTCTGTAAGAGTTCATTTTCAACTGGATTTTTTTGCAATAAAGTACAAATCTATTTGATATTTCAAAGTAGGTTTGAAGTGATTATTGGCGTCTGTACTTACGGTACCTACCGATACTACTCGAGTTAAAGAGACGGTGTCATGTAACGACATCCGATGTTTACAGTAAAACACGTGTCGTGTGAAAACACTGCATTGCACGCGTCTCTTATGAAGTCATGACTTGATTTTTTCAGATTTTTTAAATAATTTTTATTCAGCAAACAGCTTTAACGTGGTTCTGTTGAAGGCAAATTTTCTGCTAAAGTCGGTCCACATTGTATGCTACGACGTTCAATGTGTTAAAGTAATTAATTCAATTGTATCAAAATCGCTTCTGTAATAAAAATTGATCTATTCGTTACTAAGTGTATACGACTAGTACAATTTGGAGAAGCAAAAATCTCTATCGTTTACTCTTTTTCTGTAAATCAGTTGTTTTTTTGAAGGAAGCATCCTTCTCCAAATTCGTCCGTCCAGAATTGGTTTTGATAAGGAGCTTAGAATGCCGATGTAGAGCACTAAAGGGTTCAGTAGAATACCAGCCGAAGTCGTACAAGATCATGTTTTGCACATAGCTGAACTGCTGTTCGTATTGACGCAGACTTCAGACACAATGTGGGTGACATTACCATGTCTCATCATTGTAAATATTACAACTCTTGTATTGTTTTCTGTTTTGTCTATTGGGAATACGTATCAATTTGTTGTTTATTCTTCTTTTCCTTCTAGCTAAGAGACCGATAATTATTGACTTATTCTCCTTACAAAAAGACCCAATGACTATATAATCCTATTATCAAAACGTCCATATAATTTTTGGTTAAAATAGGTTCTACGTTTACAACTTTGGTGTGTCTCCAAAATACGTAGTAGGTACCTAAGTTGACTAACACCTTGATTTCAAATTAAACCATGGAAAAAGACATGACTAAGTATAAATTATACATGGTTTTTTATATTAAAAGTTCGTTTATTTGCTATGGAGTCGATTCAGATAGTACTTTTTCAGTCTACAGAAAATAAATACAAAATGGAGGCGCTCACTGTAAAAAATTACAATAATCGACTATTAGGTAACAATATGTAGGTTGAGTTATGTTTCGTTTCAAATTATTATGTTTTTGATACTAGTTTAATCAATTTACAAAATATCCATACTTTATGAACTTAAATAACTAAACATTAATAACACTGACACAAAATGAAAGTTAGCTTCACGTTAGATGTGAAGGGTAGATGGCAGCACCTATACGGTAGACTTATTTTTGTTTTAATCTCATTTTTGTTAATAAATAACTGAAAATATACAAGTAAAGACATAGGTCTTTTAGTTAGTTATTTAATGCCTAAATTAATGACCTATAATTTAGGTCAATTGTAGGTTATGTCGACACCAATTTTGTGGACCTACTAATACTCTACTAAATATTATTTAAGTACTAGGTCATTATACTTTATTGTCTTTATGTAATTTCAGGGACAAATGTAACTAACGGGTTTTCTATTGTACACAATGTAGGTACATAGTGTCAAAAGAAGAATATGGAATTGTTAACGGTATTTAGATTTCATGGGTTATTAAAATGGTTTACAAACGTACAATGAACAGAAAAGAGAGGTAAACAGATACCTACAATTTGGCTTATGTAGGTAGTATGACCACAGGCCACCTACAGACGATAGCTCATCAGACTAATAACGTTTTTATTACGTATTGTTATAAAGTCGAAAATTATTTGATAGTTCTAGACAGCTTGCTCGCAGCGCTCACTGATAAATCCAAATTTCTTTTTTGGGATATTATGTTTAGATTTCGTATGTATAATGTAACTTTCGTATGTATAATGTAATTTTGAATTTTGAAATTTTATAGAGGTATTATGTAACAAATTTTTTCGTATTAGGCTAAGTACCTGTAAAGATTAAATTAGCTGTTTTTTGATATAAATAAATAAATAATCACCAAAGTTGGCAAAACGTGGTAATGATGGCAAACCCTAGTATGTAAGCTAATGACTTATGCATTCTCAAGTTCACGACTTTTTTTCCAAAAAATATAGGTCCATGTATTGTAACTTTCGTGAGACATACTAAATAAATTATTATGTTTTCGGCTTACTCACGTAGGTAATAATTTGACGAGGAACTCGACTAGTTTCAATCCATGCTAGAGGCTCATATTCATGAGCAGCATTCGGGTCGCGAAATTCTGCTCATGAATATGTATTGTATTTATCTCATTTATATTAGCTCCATTATAATAGAACCAGGTTAAAAAAAAAAACAATCAAAAAGTTAGGTAGATAAATTAGATCTGTCATCATAATATCACCTTTTACCCCCAAAGGGGTAGACAAAGGTGCACACTATGGCACTTAATACCACTGTAAAAAGTAACACCCCCATTTCACTATTCTATGGAGTATCATGTAATAGGGGGTGAGCGTGAGCCTATTGCCATATACCGGACACAATACCAGACACCGTGCTCCAATTTTTAAAATTCGAAACGGCAATCGATCCCGAGACCCATTGCGAGCATTCGGTCAACGACGTAATAATTATTTAGATCTTGATAGATAATCCGAAAAGGCGATGGGATGTAGATTAAAGTCTAATTTCAAAATGGTTGTTAAATTCTATCTGTATCTCCTCGTTATGAAATCTAATTAACCGTGTAATTTAGAACTTGTTCTTATAATCCTATGCAAGCCAATTATACTCCAGTTTTATTGTATTAACTACATTATCATGTGTATTTAGGGAAATCAATATTTGATTTTCACGACGATTTTACAGCTAGTATCGGATTAAGTCTTTGTTTTGAATTTTCTTATGTAAAACGTTATGTAACTTGGGTAGGCGTTAACTTGCTTGTGATGACGAAATGTAGGGCAGAATGATTCAATTGGTTTTTTTTTTTTAAGGGGGGAAAATCATCGAATGACTGCTCCCGCCTGGGTGAGGCGGAAGGGAGTGTCAGACTCTTACTGACTAAAAACCACCCCGTTCCTTCTCCTGCACGTCGAGCCGGAGCCCCGGTTACCCGTTAGGTTCTCCGCGACTCCGAATGATTCAAGGGGTAGGCAGATGTGTGCATATTAAAAGCAACTTTTCAATTTATTTTTCACCAGTTGAATTAATTACGACTAATGTCAACTCCACTGAACATAAATATGCAACAAGATTTTTATAAATAAAGGCTTTTTGAAAAGGTTTGTGTACCCACATGCCTTTAGTGGAAAGGAAGTTTTTTCTTGTACTGATACTTTCTCTCTGTGTGTCAGTGGTTAATTCAGTGATTGCGTAATTTCTGACGAGAGACAATAAATATACAATGACGTCACGTACGTTTATGCATTTTTCTTTATTGGAAATGTTGCCCTGATTTTAATTTTTAACCGACTTCAAAAAGTGCAAGAAAGGATCTTTGTTTGACCCACAGAAATATTAATTATATCTGTGGTTTGACCTATGCATGTACATAAGTATGTACATATGTATGTTCGTGCTCAATTATCTCGCGATTAGTGATACCGATATTAATGTGGTTTTCATAAGAGTGTTTATCACACTCGATATATTAATTAACAGACTTAAAATAAGGGGGTTGAAGTCAGTTTTTTTACATAGTATGTATAATACAAAGTCGCTGTCTGGCTGTCCCTATGTATACTTAGATCTTTAAAACTACGCAACGGATTTTGATGCGGTTTTTTTAATAGATAGAATGATTCTTAAGGAAGATTTATATGTATAATCGGGTCGCTAGTAGTTTATAAAAGAGTTATTAAGCTCTAACGAAAGATACATTGTATATTTTTTCATATTTATATGTCAGTACCTATTGTATTTGTAACTAATCTACATAAGAAGCACATAATGTAGGTACGACTTGTATCTAAAAGGCCATTATAGTAAAAAAATGTGTACCTACTTATCTATTTTTGTCCTACTATAACTATTGTTTACTTGTGCTAATATTGTGGGAATTCTGCCAGTACTAGTGATGAGATTAGTACCTTCTTAATGAGCAGCTTCCTCAGTTTGATGGTAATTGCTTTTAATAATAGGTACGTATGTACGTATACGTAGTGTGCAAACCCACACATTAGCTGCCAAAAAATCTATTTAAGTCTGTTGCTAATTTCCATATTTTATTTATGATCGTATTATGTCATGTCATTCATGTAGGTAGCTAATAAATGACTGTGATTAGAATTAATTGTTACCGGTACTAACTATGTGTAAGGGGGGAAACTTTCAAAAGTGGTCTAATATTTTGAGGAGAATGACTGGGGAGTGTGGGATTTTTACCCCTCGAAAACCATCCCGGTGGCTAACTTCAGCACCTGTAGGGAAGACCGAGTACAGAAATCTGTATCTACCGACGTAGTATGATTAAGTTTGTTCCTACCCTAGAGAGTAGATACTTCACGCAAAATCCTAGCGGACCTATAACCCGTCCTACTTCCTACTAAGTAATATTACCTATCAAACTGCTTCTGCCAGTAGCTTCGCCCGGGGTAAAAAGTAGCCTACGTATTAGTTTTTTATGGGATAAACAGGGAAACGAGCAGACGGATCACCTGATGGTAAGCAATCGGCATCGTCGCCCATGGACATCTGGAACACTAGAGGCGTTACAAGTGCGTTACAGTCCTTTTGCCTGTAGGGGATTATTGGGGATTCAGGGATTGGGACAGGGGGGCCTCCGGTAACCTCACTCACACGACGAAACAGCGCAAGCGTTGTTTCATGTCAGTCGTCTGTGACGCTGTGTACTTCAGTCAGACTATAATCTACATCTGTTCCAAAAAATATTATAAATGTGAAAGTTTGTGAGGATATAATATTTATGTAGGTACCTATGTTTGTATAGGTGTCGTTATTTTTACTTTTTTTTTTAAGGGCGGAAAATCATCGAATGACTGCTCCCGCCTGGGTGAGGCGGAAGGGAGTGTCAGACTCTTACTGACTAAAACCCACCCCGTTCCTTCTCCTGCACGTCGAGCCGGAGCCCCGGTTACCCGTTAGGTTCGACTTGGTATGTTTACTACTGTCACACAAAAACGACTAAGTAGATTTAACCGCTTGAATGCACCGATATGAAACACAATGTCATGTCAACGTTTAGACACACGACGGGTTAAGAAAATCCGGGTTACTTTTCATCCGGCCAACACGTGCGAAGCTGCCGGCAAAAGCTAGCTAATTAGTCAAATAATACAATACAATTATATGACTTCTCTAGCTTAGATATTATAATATTTGTTTTTTTTATTAATTTACTAAAAACCACACCATATAGGTACGCCCCAATAATAATACTTATTATTACACATGTATATGTAATAATATGGTAACTATTGCACAATGTTGCGCAAGAGTGGTATAGTACGCGATTGGTCAAATATTTAAAAATAGAACCAAACTCAAGAATCGATTTTAAATGTGTGTGTGAGTACCTATACTTATAATAAAATTCTATAGTGAATGTTTTGCGGGAGACATCGTAAACTTCAATAAACTCTATGACCTAATTATGGGCCTAGAGTACCTACGTTATTTTGTTTTCATAGAAGAGTGAAGTTTATTTATTTCTTCTAGTGGTGGCCTATGCGGTGCCGCGTGGTAGACCGCAATTAATTGAATAGTTTTCCTTGTATGTACATAGTTTATTTTTAAATGTGGTTTATTAACAATAAAAACAAATAGCTAAAAGACAATAAAAACAAATACACTTCTATCTACCTAGGTACCTACTGGAGAAAAAGTCAATAGCTTAGTGGCTTTAGACACATAAATAGATACAGGAGATACAATAAGAAACTATACATATATGTATAATATTATAACAACACACATTTTAACCCCGAAAGGGTAGGCAAAGGTGCACATTACGGCACTTAATGCAACTGTGCAATGTAACACCTACTTTAATACGGAAGGAATAATATAAGAACGTATATGAAAAAAAAATCGCTGATAAAGGTACTTACCGATCCATGATCCCATTTCATCATCTATTCTCATAGTACTGTTCTCAATTCTAAGCTGTGGTAGGGCGACAGCCGAGAAACCAATAGGGTGACCAGCGCCCGCGGCCAATATCAGGACGGCACATGTTATGAGGCACTGAAACAAAACAATTTCTTATTAAAATACAATTTAAGAGTATTGATAATTCTTTGAATTATTGTATTGTGGAGTATACGATAAACAAAAGAGACTAATTTAACAATTTAAATCCCTAGTTTTAACTGTGTATGTATTGGACTTCGGTGTGTGAAGAACTTTGAAATGGAATTAAAGCAAAACACAAACTTTTGTGATTTTGTACAATGCTTAGGAAAAAATACCTATGCTACCTACAGCTATCTTAAAACTATGTGACTGCATACTTATACTATATTAGATAAATGATTTTCCTAAATGTGATGACTTAATTACATGAAATACATTTTTACCGTACGTAATATATTATATTGTACTTCACGTACAAAAAATGAGCATAATCTTTACGTGAGAAGGTGTTGCAGTGAGGCAACCGGATATTGCGTTGCGGGTTTTATCGGTTGGTTGTTTAATTCTTTAGGTAAAATGTTTGAAACGTAATTCGATAACATGACAGCAAATGCTGTAAGTTTAAGTAGTTCAAAAATTTGTACAATGTAAATAAGTGCATTATTTGTTGATATTAAAATCCTTATTAGGGGTAGGTTTTGTAAATTCTCAAGTCTATATGTATAGTGATCACCGGTGTAGTTATAGTGTGCTAAAAATTCTACTCATCCTAGTCATTCCAGAAAAGTTAAGCTCCTAGAATAGGTCTTTTTTTTTTAAGGGGGTAAATCATCGAATAACTTCTCCAGTCTTGGTGAGGCGGGTGGGAGTGTCAGACACTCACTGATTAAAAACCACCCCGTTCCTACTCCTGCGCTTCGAGCCGGAGCCCCGGTAACCCGCTAGGTTCTCCGCGACTCCGAATCGGCTCCTAGAATAGGTCTAGCAGCATATCTAGGAGCATTGTAAAACTTGGTTTGGTTTTGAAAACCTATCTGGTTAAGCTGAAAATTGACAGATCTTTCTATATCGATAAGCGATTGAAAATCACATCAGTGATAGACAGATAAGTATTCTTACATGTCCATGAGTGGAAATTCAGCAAAATCACCAATTGCTTTGATAAAATGTGACTAATGTTACATGGACATCTGAACAATTGATAAATTATATCAATATTAGTGATACCACATGTACAGTTGGGAAACATCAATCTTCTTAATGACACAATATTTTTGTATGTGATTCATATTTATCTACTTAACTGAAGTATCATAAACATAGAGCCAGATTATACAAGTATCAGCTTCTTGGTAAAAGTTGGTTTGTATTGTATTTGGTTAATACTAAAGCCAAAAATGTCTTGTCTCAGCTAGTTAGGGGTTCAAAATAAATATCAAACCCGATTCAGCAATGTCAGTATTTTAAATTAGTGCAACAGCTGATTAATTCATTCTATCTGTGTTAAATTCTGAATTTATTTTCAAATCCGAAGGTTAATAAAAATTGTCTTTAGTTAGTCAAATGCCCCATATTTATAATGCAAATATTTATACAGATTGGTTTCAAAATTTGAGACAGCGTTAGCTTTCCACCCAGGATCGATGTTACATGTGTGTTCTAACATGAAAATGTCTGTTTGAGTATCGATGAGCAATAATTAATTATTGTTGCCATAAGTGAGTGACGCACGTGACACGTGATAAACTTTTCAACGTGTCCATAATAAGTGAAATTTAATATTTCTCGGTCTTTTAAGCCGGTATATAAAGCGCCAAGTGGTTTCTGGATTACGATTATCTGCAGAATTTGGTTATTTGTCGGTATTTTATACAACACAGATTACTAATGAGGCCAGTAATCCCGATGATTCACTTTCATCACATTGTTCATCGACACACATTGTCTTTTTATATTTTGTCAACATGGCGTATTGTTATAAGCACGTTAAATGTTAACACTTCAATTGAAAATGTAATTCCTTATGTGTTTAACTCTTGGGATTGTCGGATAAGCTGCTATTAGAGATTAAGAAGACGTTATTGGATTAGCTGAATTTTTAAGAAGATAAAGCGAGTTTAGTTTTTATCCAGAATTTTAATTAGATAATTGTTTTACTGGGTTTGTTCATTATACAAAAGATAGATAAATGTTCTTTTTGTCATATTCTTCTTAAATAAGTTGTTCCTTTTTGAAGAAGATTTTTAGTTAATGTTATAGATTTATAAATCTTGATTTTATTTGGTTGCCCTTCTGACAAATAAATATGGAAGAGGTCGTGCAGAGATTAAAATATAAGCTGAGTGACCTCCTTATCTAAAAAAATGGGTATGTACTGTAGTATATTGAGTCGTTAGTTTCAGGAAGTGTCGCGATAACGCAGCTGTTTTATCGTGTGTCTGGCGGTATGTAGGTAACTGGGTCTAGTTCAGGCTTCAATGTAAATAATTTTACACGAGGAGAAAACATATTAAATGAAATTTTGACAGTTTATCTCACAGATGGATATGAGGGCAGTCATATTATAATGGACGTATTTATATCGGCTCCTCCTTAAAGTGTTTGTAATAGTGAGTACTTATCTATGAGTGTTAAGCCACTTTAATAAATCAGTGCTTGGTCATAAAATTGAACGAGTGAGGAAGTTAAATTAACATTGATAGATATGTGAGAGGAAGTGATGGAATGTATGGAATGATAATAGAAGTAAAGGGGTAGTATTATGATATGGTTTATGATGGGGGAATAAAAAGGCATTCTAATCAAGGCTAGAGGCAACTGGCCCCATGAAGAGAAACATTAAAAAGCGGAATGGACCACTTTATATTTATCTCTGATTGTGCCCAAGCTAAGACAATTGATGGTAGTGAACTAATGACCTATGATACTCATTCTGTACATCCATTTCAAGCTTTACTTTAAGTAATTAAGGTCTTCGAATCTATCTACACGTAATTATTAGCTTCATAGGTACAAGGCATGTCAGGCTCAGCCCAGCTCTTGTCAGTTCCCATAACAAGCAATTTATTTAATTGGAATAAATGGAGTTTGCCCATTGGCTCATCCTTGTCAAGATATAGCGTCGATAATAACTTGAAAGAAGTTATCTAATTAACTAATGGTCGTGGTGAATGTGTGTGAGCTAATATGACCTACTTGTAACATGTGGGAGTCATTATGATTTTTACTTTTTTTACCCTTGCTTAGATATGTACGTGTAACGCGTTTAAACGACTAACAAATTAGTTTAAGTTGCGTAAAACCTCAAGGTAAGTCGTTTATCTGATAATAGATATGTTTATATGCCTGTTTAAACTATTTACCTGTTAAAAATCCTTGTTTGAGAATTTTGAGGTTATGTGGGCAAAAAATTGCAAGTTCTATTGGTAGGTTCGTTGAAAGTCAACTAGTAGTTTGTTTATCCGCATAGCAGCAGTGCCATGGTCACGGGGTTTATCCTACAAGTCTACAAACACACGGGTTTCCTCTTTGTGTCTTACTTCATTAACATATACACAATGTTATGTTTTGTTTCGCTACAGACAAGTGGCTTGGCTTAGAAATAATTATTAGTTCATTGCTAAATTAACTTTTTTTTTTCCTTTTTGTCCGTATGTAGTGACGAGGACAGCCGGTAAAAATCTACTAACTTATTTTTTTTTATTGTGTACTTATTGGAGGTGGAGTAACTAGAGAGATATAATATACTAAATGGATCAGTATAAAATAAAATCAGTTGATCAAAATGTACGATAGGTTTTATATTTAAACTGATAATAATATGAGAACCTACAAAAATATTAAACTAAAAAAAGCCTAATAAAAAATAAAATTACTTGTTATTATCTAATTAATGCTGTCTTGTGGTAGGTAACAATATAAAGCATGTTTGCATAATGAAGGAGAGAAAAAACGGTTTGGAATGTAAAAAACTACATTTCACTAGAAACATTTACGTGAACAACGTTTATTTTTAGTTTGTGAATTATAGAGAAATAGTTATCTTTGCCAAAACATACACATATAGATACTTAGATACATACATTTACTGTTTAGTGCTTTCACCGTACCTAATGTTGACACATATTGAAGGTCAATTCATAATTCAAGAGGATAAATATAATAATAATTCTGCTAATATTATAAATACGAAAGTTTACGAGGATGTATGTATGTATGTATGTATGTATGTGTGTGTGTGTGTGTGTGAGTGTGTTTTTCTAAAAATGGGAAAATACTTTTACGTATCATCAGGACTACTTAAGAATGGCCTGGTATGTCGGACTCTGATATCAATACCGACTAAAAACCTCCTCTCTCTCTCTGGCCTCTTGCGAAAAAAACGAAAGTTTATGAGGATATATGAGTTTGTTTGTGTGTGTGTGTGTGTGTGTGTGTGTGTGTGTGTTTGGTAATCTTTCACGCGAAAACGGCTGAACGTATCGGGATGTTTGGAACAGGTGTAGATTATGGTCCGGGATAACACATAGGCTACTTTTATCCAACGATAACGCGGGTGAAGCCGCTGGCAGAAGCTAGTTGAATAATATCATTCTAAGGTTCTTTCGTATTTCAGAGTAACGGGCAGTATAGCCTGCCTATACCTCTAGTCTCCACTGTACAGAGTCAAAACTCATAAATAACCAACAGTAATTCGAGAAAACTTCTAAATGAACTTGACATTATATTGTATCTTCACATGGCTCAAGATAGTACCTAAGTTATAAGGAAACCTTGAACTTTTGGTAAATATGTATCATGCAGATACCATACACTACAATGACAAAAAAATATGACTTGTGCAAGCAACTCATTCAACAATCAAGGCGCGAAGTTAGAAAAAGCTCACAAAATACCAATGTGTAATCGTTAGCTGACATTTTTACAGTCCATTTGCATCAAACGAAACACAGTTAACCTTCTGCGTAACTATAGCGCGTAATCCAATTACAGCCTTAACTCCATTGTTCACAGTTATGTGTAAAAATAATATTTACGTTCCTTATCCACACATTTTCATGGTTACCCTACATAGTTTCGGAATGTCATTGTCAAAGGTTCGCGCGTGTTGC